TTAAAATTTTTTGAAAATACAAATTTTAAAATTCCAAAAATCTAAAGAAGGAAAAGGGCTCCTATTTGCCGGTGAACGGAAAAAAAGTCACAGGAAAAAAAAACAGAAAAAAAGTCACAGTTTTTGCTAGGAAAAAAAGTCACAGAAAAAAGTCACAGTGGAAAAATTTTATCGGAAAAAAAGTCACAGAAATAAAGTCACAGAAGAAAAAGTCACAAAAATGTTTTTAGAAATATTTTGTTTTATTTGTTAAGAACTGTCAAATTTTGTATGTTTATTGTTGTGGGTTGTATTTTTTTTATAGAATACATTATTTCTAGAAGTTAAAAGCAGTATGGTTTATAACAATTCTAAGTGAAAATACTCTAAGATAATTTACACAACAATCTCAACTTTTGTTATGTATTTAGTTAAATACACGGTAGAAAAGTTAATTATAAAAGAAATTTAGGCAAATTTTTACGTAGGCTATTCTATGGTCGGCCTCTCCTCAGTAGCCATTGTCCGAACATATTTTGTGTTGTTGACGTTTTGCGTCAATGTCAGCCTTTGAACCTTGTCGGCTTTCTGTTTTGATCCTAAGTTGTGTTGTGTAATGAGCGTGATAAATGTGGGCAGTAAAGGTGGTTGAACTACACATAACTATTGTTGCCATGAGTTGAGGGCAGCAAGTCAATGAACTTACCATTTCACGGTAATTTAATGTTGGTATTTAAAAAAAAAACACGATGAAAACAGTGGACTTTGGAGCATTCTATTAAATGCTACCAATCTTAAGTTTAACATAATTAAAAACTTCATACTAAGTATTTTTAGATGAATTATAAAAATTACTATTCGTATACAGCATACACACATTACATTACATTTAATTAATCCTAAGTTAATTTGCGCTCTCTAAATATTTAATTCACAAAAGTATTAACAAATATCATGCAAATATATATTTGTGACTTTTTTTCCTGTGACTTTATTCTGTGTTTTTTTCCTGTGTTTTTTTCCTGTGACTTTTTTTTCCTACAATCTATTTGCCTTGGCTCCTATGCCTTGCTTACGCTAGCTTTACGGTAGCTACGCCACTGCCTTAGGCTCTTCTCTGTGGGTGTCTCGCGGCTCGTGTCTTCTGAAATTCTCCTTTTATATCTCTCCATCACCGATGGATTGTGGGACAGCGAAAACCTAAGGTCTAGGACAGGGCAACTTTTGGTGTCGAGATGCGGCTCTTCAACTCCATTCACAAATATTAATAATTATTTTATTTTCAAAAATCATTAAAATATTGTTCTGCAACACTCGGTAATGAACGATATAATAATAAACATAAACAATAAGCACTCGCTTTTCTATTAGAATATTAACTACTTCCTATTTTAATGAAGGATATCACAAAGAAACTGAAGGAGCTAAATGTAAAAATGTAAAAATTCAAAGCAAGGAAAACCCAGCATATGCCTTGCTTAAAGAAATTTGTTTCGAACAAAAAATTACGTCATTTTGTTGAAGACACGGAAAGCGGTAAATTACTTTACTTCAAAAAATTTGAAAAAAAAAATGTCGTGATAAAACCAACGCTACTATTAACATGAATTACTTCATCATTGCTATAAACAAAATGATGGATGAGTTCACTGAGAGATTTGAGCCATTAAAAAGAAATGCAAGTACTATGGCGTTCATAGTAGATCCTCTCAACACGAAAACAAATTAGATTAACTTTGAGCTATTTGGAGTTGATGCTGGTTCGCTTCAAATGAAATTGCTAGATTTGAAAACCAAACATTTGTGGAGTGGTAAGTTCAAAGAACTGAAGAGCATTAAATGCCGCGAGTGGAAGCACTATTATGTGACAGATGGAATAGTCTTCCAGTATGCTACAGTGAGGTGAAGAAGTTGGCATTTGGAGTGCTGACGATCGTCCGGCCAACATATTCATGCGAACAAGCGTTTTCTTGCATAAATATAATACAAAGTAAAGAAGCCAACTAAATAATAAAATTCGAGAGGCGTGCTTGAAATTGAAAACAAGTTATGAGCCAGGTTTAAACAAACTTTCAAATGGCAGGCAAGGCCAAACTATTGTAAATAGTATTCAATAATTAAAGTTATAGAATTTGATTACTAATTTTATTATTCTAGCGGAGCTAGATAAAATACGTTAATATTTATTCTGCAAAACATGTGTGTTTTTATATGAATAAATATTATTTCATATTTAATATATATATATATATATATATATATATATATATATATATATATATATATATATATATATATATATATATATATATATATATATATATATATATATATTCCTTATAAAAATTATAAAATTGAAATAAAAATGTTAGTGGCTCTTTAAAAACTTGGAAATTTGGTAAATTGTAACTTTTGGCTCTTCCGTCTCAAAAGGTTTCCGACCCCTGGTCTAGGACAGTGAACTCTCAGTGAACTCATCCATCATTTTGTTTATAGTAATGATGAAGTAATTCATGTTAATAGTAGCGTTGGTTTTATAAAAATAATCTTATATATAAAGTTCAATTCTGTTTGTTTATATGTTTGTAATCGAGGATTACAAAGGAATATAAGAAAAGAAAAAAAAAAGACACCTCGATGGATTAAAGTGTTAGATTATGAAAGATTATTAAAAAATTAATACTGAAAGTGTTGGGAAATAATTTTCATTTCTCAAACTGATAGTAATAATTGTCGGCATGTTCATTAAACACAATTTTAAAAAAAAAATATCATCTTTTAAAAAAATTCTAATTATGTCTGAAAATTATTTATATTTAGTCCTTTAGCACTTACTTCCCTTTGATAAATTAGGAAAACACAATTACTTTCCTTTATAAAACATTGCATTCGTGGAAAATAATTTACTTTTTATTACTTTGTTTTGGTGTTGGGAAAAAAAATAATTACATAATTAGCGGGGATTGATCAAGTGCAAATGCTGTAGGTATTTTTAATACTGCCTTTTATTTATTCTATACACTGAACTTACTGTTTACTAATTTTTTTTTTAAATCAATAACAGTTAATAAGCCATGTCCTACATGTCCTATATTTTTATTTCTTTCCGTTTACGGATAAGCTTGGAGTATTATAATTGTCCTCTGGCGCCCAGACAGGGTGCTCTTTGGGGCCCCGGGCCTCCCGTGTTCGGTTTGGCGCCTATGTTCGTTTAAGTGAGTGCAAAAACTATGAATACGTTGGGGTATTAAAGTCGTTTATTAAGCTGAAACAGGCGATTCCGCCGGCGCCGCAGCATGGTGCAATTTGGCGCCCCGGGCTAGACTGTGAGCACTTTGCGTTTATGTTCGCTTTGTGTTTTCTTTGTGTTTAGGTTGGGTTTGCGTTAGTGGTTGGGTTTGCGTTTTGATTTTGTTCGTTTTCGTTCTTTCTTTTTCGTATTTGTTTTCTTTTGTGTTTTTTTTCTTTGGGTTTTTTCTCTTTGTATTTGTGTTTGTGGTTGGTTTTGTGTTTGTGGTTGGGTTTGGGTTTGTGTTATCGTCTGTATTAGTGTTTGCGTATGTTTCCTTTCTTTATTTTTGTTTTGGTTTTGGTTGGTTGTGTGTGGTTAGGGTGGGCAATGCCGGGTATACGCTGATTACTAAACACACATGTCATGTTTTTTACAGATAGGTTTCAGAAAGCTCTTTTATAGACAACTGCACCAAACTACAAGAAGATATACAATTTTATATAATATTAGCCGTCCCGGTTTGTGTTGTGTTTTGTTTGTGTTGCGTTGTGTTGTGTTTTGTTTGTGTTGTGTTTTGTTTGTGTTGTGATTGTGTTGTGGTTGTGTTATGTTTGTGTTGTGTTTGTGTTATGTTCGCGGTTCTTTTTTTTTTGTGTGTTTTGGTTTTGGTTAGTTGTGGTTAAGGTGGGCAATGCCGTATATATGTTGATTACAAAACACACATGTCATGGTTCTTTACAGATAGGTTTTCACAGAGGCCAGAGCAGGGCCTGGCCGGGACGGCTAGTTATTAATATTTGTGAATGGAGTTGAAGAGCCGCAACTCGACACCAAAAGAGCCGCATGCGGATCGCAAGCCGAAGGTTGCCGACCCCTGGTCTAGGGCCATTGGGGGGGGGGGGTTAAAAACACAGGTATCACGAGCACAGTCGTGAACACCTTCAAATTGGTTAGAAAGAAAATGACGTCATTTAATAAAAGGGAGCTCAATGCCAATTGAGTACAAATAAATTCTAACTATTAAAAAAGACCTAAGTAGGTCGCAGTATTCAAATACATAATAAATCTTTCATCCGTCATAAAAATTATACTCAATTATTTAATCATTCACAAAATCAAATTAGGCATGTCCTCCTGCGTCCGCAGCAGGGTGCGATTCGGCGCTCCGGTACTACTTGTTACTACCCGTAACAGCGCCTACGTTCGTTTTAAAGAGCGGCCTACAATTGGGGCCCGGTGGAACACTACATTCAATGAGCAAATCGAACCTGGCGCTCCTGATGTAGTATAACCGGTGGTTCTCGACAGCGCCCCGCGACGCCCTTCGCGCCTAAGTGGTCAAACCGTACATACATCACGTCTAATGGCGTCTGGGTAGAACTGGAACAAACCCGCGACTCAACGGCTAATATAGCGCCGACGCCGTTTACACTCAGTTTTAGAAAACAAGGTTAACATAAAGAATAAAGAGTGTCCTTGAATTATTTATTTCTGAGATCAGAGTTTCTTCCAGGCATCTCTCAGTGGGGGGGGGGGGGGGGGGGGGGGGGGGTTGGCAGAGCCCCGAAGAAAGTCTACCGTCACCCCCCCCCCCCCCCCCCCGAAATAGAATTTGTATAGAAAATATATACTTTTAACAGGAAACATTGTCTGAAATTCCAGCAAAGCGCGCGACTGGTACGCTAGTTACTTATATAAATAAATGATATTTAAAAAATAGACTACTTCAGACTGACAACAATCCTTTTGATAACAAACTTTGTCCCTTTATCTCTACAAATTTACGTAGATAATTCCTCTGAGGAACAGAATGCAAAACGTGTCAGATTTTGGCGGATGGTCCGGAGTTCTTAGCCTGGCTATGGTGATAGTTACTGCCATGTACACGGCAGTTGGTTTCTACGGATATTTGAAGTTTGGAGAAGATTCTGCTGCAGCCATCACTCTTAACCTCCCAGTAAAGCAGATGTGAGTTAACCTACTTCAGTTTTTATAAACACTCAAGCTGATGACTAAAATAATTATGTAAACGAGTTTGATTAAACAAATATAATGAGGAAATGTGTGTAAACGGTAGCTTCTAATAGCGACAGCGAGAACCTGGGCACAAGGGCGGCTAACGAGGTTTGTTCTACCTCACGGTTTTCATTCAGGATACTCGTTTCTGGGGCAATAGTGTACAAAGTCACGTCCCAGCCTGAGGATGGTGCTAGAGCATGGGGAGCTGCTGCTAACGTATGAAGTAATTTTTAAATGAATTTACATCACTCAGTAGCTTGCAATCTCTAAAAGATAATTATCTGCTCCTTCTCGGTCTGTTATCGAGGTATTAACCAGGTGTACAAAATAAATAAATAAAACATTCCACCGTCGTCAGCTGATTGTGCGATTGCTAGTACTAGTACTTAATTTTATTACTCCACTGTTATTAGTAAACTTATTTATCTTTTAATAAATGTTAATGACTAATTTAATGTCAAATCAGATTAAAAATTATATTTTGTATCTGGCAAGTTCGGACGAAATAGCTTACAATTGAGACCAGATTTGCCATCAAGCAACGAACAAGCATACATTAAAAAAAAGATTATAGGCCTCAATGATAACACTCATGTAACAAGATAATTTTCCGACATACCCCCCCCCCCCCTAATTTTTAGCCTTTACCAGTTGGTCAACGTAAGCTTCGCTGTCGCAGTTTTCATCTCAGTTGCCGTCCAGTTTTATGTTCCCATCAATGTTGTTTGGCCAGTGATTGAAAACTGGTTTCTACATAGGACATCATCTCCAGCTTTCCAAGTCTTAGAGTATCTGACAAGAGCAGTGTTGCTGATCATCATATGTAAGTAATTGCCATGTTCCTAAGGTGTTGCCACGTTGAATAGAAGCCGGGCTGCCGATGTGATCATTAAACTTGGCTCAATATAGTTTTGAAATGTTTAAGTCTTTCTGAACAATAATATACAATAGTTTATTCTTCTGTAACATGTTCTATGATGTTTACAATTATATTAAATGCAGACTGAACAAGCCATGTCAACGTTGTTGCCAGTTCACTGGTATAACACTTACATTTTAAGACACAGCTCTTTGAGTTAACTCTAGTACTTTATTCTTATATACACAAAACTCAGAAGACACGTCCTGTCTCTGACTCTACCTTTTGTTAACTGACTACATGTACACACCACAAAGACACTGTGAACACTTCAAGGACGTAACCATAATATATATATCATAATACAAGGGACGTAACAATCCCTAACAAAAATTAATACTAATAGTTTCACTGTTTGTGTATCTATCTGTTTATCTATGTATCTATCTGACAAGAACGCTATAGAGAAAACACAAGCAAATTAAAAACTTTCATAGTAAAACGGAAACGAAATATGACGTCATATTGAGCATAGAGTAGAAAAGAGTCGAAAGCCGGAAGAGTGCACAAAATAATATGACGTCATTGATTCTCGAGCAAACATTGAATTAAAAAGCCAATTTTGTCTAATCTAAGTGGTTTGCGTGAAGAGTTTCTTTCATACAATTCTTCCGGTAGGGGCGAAGCCCCACCCTCGAGAAAGAACGTCTAAGCCCCCCCCCCCCCCCCCCCCCCAACTCAAAAGAAATTTCGTCATCGATACTCTAAAACTAAAATTAAATTAAAATTACCGCCTAATTAATGTGTCTAATCTAAAAAGTGGTTTGCTTGCAGTTTCTTTCATGCAATTCTTCGGGTAGTGGCTAAGCGCGACACCAGTGTTTCTTTCAGACTTTTTCCTCCCAGGAGGGGGGAACTTTTTCTAATCTAAAAAGTGTTTAGCGTGCACTGTTTTTTTCATGCATTTCTTCCGGTAGGGACATGCATATGACTATATAAATTAAAGTACCGATTCTGGATACAAATCCGTTTTCAAAGTCATTTTTCGTTTCCTGTTAAATTGAATTAAGGTGGTGATTTTGGTTTTAATTTAGAGAAAATAGACAGCACTATCAACCTAGCGCCCGTTGTATCTTTCCTCAACGGGCCATTTTTCTCGTATAAAATATAATAAAATAACTTTTTATTTTCTCGTATACAGAGTATAAGGTATTGTAATCGAGCAAAAAAAAAAAAAAAATCGAGATTTTTTCCAAATCTCGACGTTTTATACCTCAATGAGTCGGAAAAACATAGTCTTGCAATCTTTTCCGTATGTCTGTATGTGTGTGTCTGTGAACATGATAACTTGAGTACCGTTACAGCTAGGTTGATGAAATTTCATATGTTAGTATTATAATTATATCAAATTTGTAGTTCTGTATCAACTTTTAGGCGATTTCCGGTAACCGGAAGTGGAACTTTCAATTTTTCAATAGCCTATAGCTTGAGTATTGTTTCAGATTAATGAAATTTCACATGTAAGTTACTATTGTAAGTAAAAGATCTAATTCTCTGCCTTCTTTCAAATTTTGAGTTATTTTCGTTGATCGGAAGTAGTAGTTTGCGCTATTTCCTATTTCTCAAAAAACACATGTGAATTCATATTGTACTAATAATATTCCGCACTATTATACACATTTTGTTTGGCGTTCACTTGGTCACAATTATTTTTTCTACGAGATTCTATTCTATTATTAAAAAGTTTAAGTAATTAAAAATGGATTTAAAATCATGTCTATATCCAGACGTGCCATCCCCTGTAGTGTTGTGATGGAAGAATATTCGAGAAAGTTTAGGGGAGATCACTCCCGGTTTATTGTAAAATATTTTTGTACACGATAGGTCAAATGTTATGTTCTATCAGTAGCGTACGCAGGGGGGGGGGGGGGAGCAGCGGGAGCGGCTGCTCCCCCTGTGGCCATTTTCAGCAAAGTGGCGCCTTTTTGGAAACTTTTTAAACTCAAAAGTTTTAAACAATGAATTTGTTAAAAAAATATTTTTGGTCGGCACATCTATGTAAATCACAAGATTTCTTTTCATGCAGCAATTAAGCATTATTGCAATAGTCTAGTAGTGTCTACGTTTACAACATGTATTAACAGCTGCATCAGCTTGCCATTCTAAAAATAACCATTACGATGCATTCCAATGGGTTAGGGTTAGTTAAAAAACCTCTACAGGTAGTACCACTTAGCAAGAGGGGTGTTAAGTTTAAGGCAACTGTATACCCCGAACTGATCTGTTAAGTACATGTAGAAAAACGCGTAATGATGTACCAAAGTACCATGTCGCCAGAAAATTAGCTTCTTAAACGTCAAACTTTGTGAATATTGTTTTTGCAATTACCAGTAAAGAGGTGTGTGATCAATACTGTAATCTAACCCATACCTATCACTATGTTAAAAAATGATCTAAAGAAAACAAAGAAGCAGTAGTGGATTAAAAATATATGATCTGAACTAAAAGACCAATATCTAGTTAAATGTAGGCTGTTATTCCGAATGTTTTTCTAATATATCGAAAAGCGTGGTTTTATACCAACTCTGATTTTAAGAACTTTCGTTATGCTGTAATACTTTAGCATTTATGATGACGATATATTAAATTCTGATTATAGACAAAAACATTTTGTAAACACGAATAGTGTTACACAATTTCATTATATTCTAAAGTAATTTTTTTTTTTTTGACATTTATAATTAAATGTGTAGATATATACTTATTTTATATTAAGAGAGTGATTTTATTTCCCCTATTTCACTTGCCTTAAATAATTTCCCAGGAATTATTATGTAAGAAATTTTTTTTTACAAAATTTACAAACCAGTTTGTGTCAGGTTCATTGTTTTTGGTTGTAGTGTGTGTATATTTTTTGTTGTTGTTTAGATTGATACAATTTTTGTTTTGTCGGCCTACATTGTGTTTTTCCTTATTTCTTCAGAGTGCTACTTTCAGTTTATTTTACATCATAGCGCAGTAATGACATACATCTAGTAATTATATATATATATATATAATACACGTATATAGAACGTGTTAAAAATTCAGCGCCTTTTTTGCTCTTTTCGCTCCCCCTTCAACGAAAACCTGGATACGCCTCTGTGTTCTATCGTTACCAATATAGCTACCGTAAGTCTAACAGATAGATAATTGTCAATAAATTGCCTACATTTATTTTTATAATAAAAAATGTAGGCCTATTCTTTTTTTACTTTCTCGTATACGAAGTAGGCCTATAGTAATCGTGAAAAAAAAATCTTGATTTTTTTTTTTCCAATCTCGAAGTTTTACACCCCCCTGAGTCGGAAAAACATTAGTTTTGCAATTTTGTCCATATGTGTATGTGAACACGATAATTTGAGTACCGTTACAGCAAACTTCTTAAAATAGAATCTCAAAACAAAAAACAAGTGCAGAGGCGTACCTAGATGGGAGGAGGCGGCAGTCCCTGGCGCCATCCCAAGGGGGGCGCCGAAAGGGGCAGTGAAAAAACAATTAGACGCCAGCGTTGCTAGACTAATTGATCAACGGGACATAGTGCTAGTATTTAAATATCCGGTTGGAGATATTCTTTGTTTTCTTTTATTTTCTGTTGACGACACAAAATGGCTTTACTAAAAGTCATTTTTCGCATGAGAGAGCCACTTAATACAAACGCTAATCGTTTTGCTAACTAAATCCCAATCAGTTGACATATTTCTTCATTTCCAATCTTGGAACACTAGCGTATTTTCACTAGCATTTGCTTACTCATTGTTTCTCATGTACCACACCCACACATATAGGTTATATGTATGTATATACATGTCTACGAATAATTATGTTGTCCGTGACTGAGTACGTATTTAAAGGTTATAGTTGAAAAAAAAAACGGCTGTTAATAATAGCAGATACTAAGGGTGAAAATTAAAGACTAGCCATGGTTATCTATTTAGCCTAGGTAGTTGTATTTAATGAGCAATTAGTGTAGCCCTACGATATTGCAATAATAGTAGAACCAGCTATTGTCAGATAGGAGAATGCTTGTAATGAAGAAAAGTTTGATATCTTTCTGTATTCCTACTAGTCAGTATCGCCACCCTAGCCCCTCACATCGAACTGTTGATGGCACTGTTTGGATCGTTCTGTGGGGGTTTGATGTCTATTATAATACCGGTATGCCAAGCATTTTTTTCTATTACTCTAGCACAATTAACTAAAGTTACTTTTGGATCTCTCCCACAAATGAATGATTTGACCTTTTCTCTCAGGTGTTTGTAGAAATGTTGACCCTATATGGAGATGAAGAACTTACAGCTTTAGTGCTGGCAAAAGATGTTTTTCTCTTGTGCTTTGGTCTGTTGGGTCTTACTACAGGAACCTACACCGCTATGCTTGACATCAGCCAGACATTTTGACATCCTGAAGCTCCCTACAGGAACCTACACAGCTATGCTTGACATCAGCCAGACATTTTGACATCCTGAAGTTCACTAGAGAAACACAGCTATGCTTGACATCAGCCAGACATTTTGACATCCTGAAGTTCACTAGAGAAACACAGCTCTGCTTGACCAACATCCTCAAATTAATTATTGTATTTGTATATTAGAAAAAAATTAATTTCACCCAATAAACTATTGTCACTAAAAATAATCTTGACAGCATGGTTGGGTGGTAGAACACTTGATGGCTGACCCAATGTTTAAAATTCAGATCTTGATCAGGACTTGAGTCAGCAGTATGTACCTGACTCAAGATTGGGCTGGGCACACCATTATATGCAGATGGATAGAAACTTATCAACTCAATCTGCCCAATGGATTGTTAGGTCTGAGAAAGGGGAACTTTAGTACATAACAAAAAATTTTAAAATGATTTTTTAAATGTGTTGATTGCAATACAGAATTGTTGAAACAAGATATCTAGTCAAATGTGAAGAATTGTGTTTATCTTGCATTCTGCTGATTACAAGATTATATACATGTGTAGAACCAAATATGTATACTAGGTATTTTATTGTAAAATCTTAAAAATAAAAACCAATATTTTAAAATGCTTTTGTAACGTAATGAAAACTTCCTTTAAAAACAAATTAAAAGGTACTGAATGTATAGAAATGGATACCTAATAATAAAATTATAGAAACTTGTTTGACAAATCTGAGTTTAACTTTTAACAAGTGGATGACTGTGTGAAAAAATTATTGGATGATTTGGGTAAACTTACTATATATGGAAGTCAGTAATTAGTTTATTTACTGAGTAGTTACTTCAACAGTCCTAACAAATCAGCTGATCTTATCACAAAACAAAGAGAAATAAATTCTAAATTACAGGCTCATGACTTTTTTCCTATTGCTTCATTATCTTCATCTGAATCATCCACTCCATTTTTGGCCACTTTACCACAGCTGGCTGCAGCCTCACGGAGAGAAGAAATTTTTCCTTCAGGATCATCAATGGCACGCATACCTAGAAAGAAAGCTTTAATGATTGAACAAGTTTGAAAGAGTTAGACTTCCTTGTATCCACCCTATCACTAAATCATGTACACAAGATGTAGCTCACCACATGAAACAATACATTTTGGTAACATTTGTTTTCAACAATTATGTCCTTGCAACTTGAAGCAAAAATGTAAAAACATTATTTTTAGCTTGAATTTACTTGTTGAAATTTATAAATATTTCTTGTGCACAATAGATATCACATGTTAACTATCCAAATATTTTGCGTTTTAATTTGGAGAAAAAGCCTTCTTCTTCTTCTTCTGGTAAATGTTGGCCCATGACACGCTCACCAGAGGACCTCCCAGCTGAAACAGAATAGGAAGGTCCCAGGTTAGCAGTTACAGGCTTTATTTAACAAACCTTACAACTAGTCAAGTATAAAAACATGAAATCTATTGCAGCACAAGAAACTACCCTACAACTGGTCAAGTATAAAAACATGAAATCTATTGCAGCACAAGAAACTACCCTACAACTAGTCAAGTATAAAAACATGAAATCTATTGCAGCACAAGAAACTACCCTACAACTGGTCAAGTATAAAAACATGAAGACATAACGTCCCCTCAGTATTATCTTGTTCTAACTACAAATTTTGATTTTTTCGAAAAACTCGACCCTATGATGCAGAAAAGCACTATGTTCAATCTCCACTTATCTACATGACTCTAAGACATCTGCTTCCTACCAAAAGATAAACGAGTTTAAAATATTTTTAATAGGTAAATCAGACCCCATGAAACTTCAAATGCGTTTTTCTCAAACTACATTTTGGGAGATAGAACAAGATAATACTAGGGGGACGAAAGTAGCACATTTTGAAGCTATGAAGACAACCTTTTTTGGTTTGTGCCATTCCATCAACTGTTCCTTCTATTCCTTTCTCTGTCTCTGCAAATGCCTGGAGTAAGGCTTTCTGCTCATCTGTAAGGTTACTGCAATTAAACACAAGAATCTTTAAGGTTACTGCAAGCCATTAATGCCAAGTGTCCTGGACACAGAGGGGATGAGATGAATGCAAATCTTTATATTAAGGGGATTTGCTTTTGAATACTTTTACCATGTATGACAAATGAAATTAAGTATTGAACAGCAACCAGGGGTTTGAAAACAATTTTGGTAGACATGGAAACCCAAAAAAACCTCAGCTATTTGAAATTTTTGCTACTTTAAAAACACCAAGGCTTTTTTTTAAATTTATGCACTAATAGCAATCAAATGATTTAATTAACTTTGGCATGACAACTTATACTGGTCAGAATTCTACAAAGTCTAAAAATCGCACTCTTTTTAGTATGCAAAAGTCTATAAATTTGCATATTATTTAACATAAACTTTTTTGGTGACCGGGCAAATGATCTCAAAAATAAATGAAATGTTTAAGTAGTGAAAATGCATATAACAAATAAAGGTTGGAAGTCTTACACACATTAATGTTCAAAAACATGTGAAATACTTTTCAAAAGGTGATTGGGTCTTCAGGTTTGTAATGAAAAATTATGTTTCGATTGCATCATCAAATGTAACGTTCACTTTTCTGTGCTGACTGTTTTCCAGTGTAAATTCTTAAAGGTGCAGATGCCTTTCTGCGATTTTAATGAAAGAGGCTATAGCTGGGTGATCACCAGTAATACTGCTTTGTTTGCATGCACACTATGATTAAATTTGCTCCCCAATGACCACCGGCGCTTTAATAGACATTTGTCATGAGAACACCGGTGTGACTGAAATATCACTAAGGACTTTAAATGATAGTTGTATTGTCCACGGAGAGCCAACATCTTCTCCCTTAGGGCATGTCTCTGCCAAACAAAGTGAGCAGCCACCTTGCTAGTTATGTGTTTATGTAATGTAATAAATGTGTGAGATATTTTGTCTGAGACCATTTGCATTGAACCACTTTTTTCTATGAAAGCCATCACAATTCCCTTGTGATAAGTTTTATTTTTACATGAACAAATACTGAAAATATGGAGGGAATTGTAGTTTTAATTTAAAAAAAAGTAGTAGGCATTTAGTGTTTAAAAAATGCAAAAAGAGAAAAACAGCCAAATGTTTTAGTTACCAAAAGTAAATACCATTTATGTGTAATTTGTAAAGCTAATTGTATGCTTGGGTTGTTTTTGAGATGACGAAAAATACGATCATTAAATGCATGACAAATCCAGCTTTAGAATGATGTAAAAAATACAATATGATGGATATTAAATAGATTGGGTGTAAGATTGGGAAAAAGCAATCACTTTTAAATTAATGGGGTCACAAAATTTGTATTTTAAGCACATTAAAAATTTTCTCATTACAGTTATTTTCTTAATACAAAATTTGACAAAAGTATCCAAAAGTGCAAGGAACCCATTATGACAAAAAAATCTGAATGTTTGTGATTTTTTTGGTGTGCATATCCCCTTTAGTTAAGAATATCCAATATGCTGGGCTTTAATTTCTGCATCTCAGATATATGAGTAAAAAAAAACCAAATAATCTCTCTGCTTCTCAGATATATGAGTAAAAAAAAACAACCTATCAATCTCTAGTAGATAACAGTGTGCTGGGATCATGTAAACAAATTACTCAAGTTTTTTCCATATTTTAAAGAACCCTTGTACATTGATATAAATTAATTTGCAATTGAATTTTACTAATAATTTTCAAAATTGCCTTCTTGGCCTTTATGGGTTAAGGTTGCTACAAGAAAACATGGTTGAATATTGATAAAACTTACACTGGAACTTTAATTTTCACATGGATATAATGATCACCAAAGCCATAGCTGTTGACCCGACTAATCCCTTTACCAGCTAATCTTAGTCGATGATGTGAAGATGTTCCAGGTGGTATCTGCAAGAATATACAAGAGAAATGTAAATGGATTCAAATGCTGGCAAGTGTTTGTTTTTCCCATACTCATTAGCACCTGCATTAGCATTAATTATTAACTAACATTGTTCATTACATAATATTCTCTAAAAGTGACTATAGATTGTTAATTTTGTATCCATGTATATCCATTTATTTTACATTCTCTATGAAAGTAATTACTATCTGTATCTAATTGACAGAGGTGGGGGCTATATATAGAGGGGGGGGGGGGGTGTTTGATCTTTGGATAGTGACCAGGTTGTAATTATTGACCTGGGTGAAAAGTGATCATAAGGTAGTAACACCAGGAAAGGGTAACAGGGATGTGACCAGAGAGATTAGTCTAGTCCTCATTGTCACCATTTGCAAAGATTTCAAAATAAATTTGAAGTTTATAAAAAAAGCAGATAGCAGCTGGAAATGGTAGAAGGGATTGCTAACGCTTGCAGTTAAACAGAGGTGAATTAAATATAAAGGTAGATAGTTTATACCTATACTAACAGGTATGCAAGATTAAAGGGAAACGAACCACTCTCAGGACATGTACATTGCTTAATATAATAGCAACATTTTAGAATACCTTTTTCGTAATCTTTTTTTGTTGCGTAAACGGGGGGTGGGGGAATTTGTGGGGGAAATAGGACTTGGACTGAAAATTCAAATTCTGAAAAATGCGGAAACCAGCAGAAATTCTGAAGTCACATCCCTGGGTAATGAAGGGGGCAATGTTCTAGACCCAACATATAAGTGGCTCATATTCAAAAGTAATAAATATTTGAAATCAGTTTTCCAAAACGGTAATAATATCTGCACTTACGCTAAGAACTATGTCATCATATATTCCAGGTATACGTATGGAGCCTCCCAACACAGCTTGAGACAGACTAATGCTGACATCACTGTGAACATCTGCCCCTTCACGCCTGAATATTCGACTTTTTTGTACCTGGACAATGAAATCATTCAAACATGATTAAGCATGCATCTGTAGTTCAATTGTGCAAGTTGAAGAACACAAGAATTATAACTTACATGTACATAAAACACTACTTTAGCAGTCAGTACGCAACTAACAGCAGTCTGTATGTAATTGTCAGCAGATTAAATGTGTAATCCAGATATTGAATAAATAAGTTTATTATCCTTAAAACATTTTTATTTTTAGACACTGCTGTTAAAAATCTATTTTAGTTGAACAAACCTTAAAAGTGATAAATACTTCCTGACCACCAACTGGCATACGGACAGTCTGACCATCTTCAACACCTAAAAGTCAATAACAAGTCGCTTAGACAAACATAAATCATGACAAGTTAACACTAACAGTAGGGTTGAAGAACTAGCCAACACTTTAAGAGTAGGGTTAAAGAACTAGCCAACACTTTAAGAGTAGAGTTGAAGAACTAGCCAACACTTTAAGAGTAGAGTTGAAGAACTAGCCAACACTTTAAGAGTAGAGTTGAAGAACTAGTATTTTGATATTTAATTAGTCAAGCCACTTGTATCAAGATAACATTTTTGCCACAACAGATCAAACAACAGATTAGGTTAGGCCTAGATGGCTGCATGCAATCAGCACCAGTTTGCTTCTTCTCAATAGCCCTCATACCTCTTCTTTTGGAATGCGGGTACTGCTTGTTTTTTCCTTGTAACAAACCAATATAGAACTCACCTGCTGGGACTGGAACAACAATTCTCTTTCTAGAAATGACTTTGCCTTTTCCATTACATTCAGTACAAGGATGTTTATTGACTGTCCTCTTGCCATGACAACTGCGACAGGTGGACCGCATTATAAAGGGACCAGTCGATATAGTTTCCTGTTGGGAAAAAATAATATTGCTTTTATAAAGAAACACAAGTCAAACAACACTGGCAGCGATTTGATCAGATATACTTGTAAACAAAGCAAGTCAAGTGGGTTCTAGCTAGGTGAAAACCAACTGGGTTTATCTCTGTAAGTCAATTGAGATTATCTCTGAAAGCCACCTGGCCTATCTGTGCAAGTCAACTAGGTTTATCTCTGTAAGGCAATGTGGATTATCTCTCAAGTCAACTGGGATCAAGTGATGGTGTAACTACCATCCCTACAGATTTCAGTCATAAGAAACTGTATCTACCATTCCTGTAAATTTGAGTAATTAAAAAGAGTACCTACCATCCCTGTTCCATTACACTGTGGACATTTGCTGGCAGATGTACCCGGCTCTGAGCCACTACCCCTACACTTAGGACAAGTTTCCTTCACATTTAAGTTGATCTCTTTATTGACACCTCGAGCAGCTTCTTGGAAGGTTAGATCCATATACATCTACAAATAATATGACAAGATATCTATTTTAACTAGCACAAATCTCTTGCTATTACAGCAAGGCTGCCTATTGGAACATTATTTTAGAAACAAAGGCATTGGTTTTCCGTAATAATTGGCTTCAATCACATTTTTTCAGGGACGTGACCAGAGCATGAAAAAATTTTTTTTTTGGACAAGAACTCAATGTTTTATCTATTTTTATTATCGCAGTTAAAGCAGTCTCACACTGTTACTGTACTAATAAATTGTTTGATACAGCTTGGGATCTGAAATATTTGAAAATCCAAAGAAATTTTGAATCTTGACCTACATTTAATCTTACACCATCAGACCCAGCGGTTTGGTCCAGATAAAAAAAGAATGCATGCAAGTATTTTATTGTCCATTTGACCTAAGTAGTTTTTTAAAGAAACTATTTTTCACATCTATTTTTTTATAAAACAGTATAACAGTACTTTGCCTAAAATTTAATAGTATAATAGTGATAAACATCTACAATATCATACTAGTCTTCTCATGGGCAACATAAAAATAAAAAATCTGATAAATTCAGAACAATATTAATTTTACCTTGTAATACATTTTTTTAAAAACAAAAAATCATATTTGTGAGGTGAAAGTTCAAATTGAGGATGGATGCCATGAAAGAAACATGTAAATAAACAAAAAAAAGTATCACATATTGTAACTGATATTAAAAGTAGTTGAATATAAAATTGAAACCTGGAACTGGAGTTACCACAAGTACTAATCTATGCTGATGCAATTTTGATTTTTAAGGAAGGCAAAAGTGTAACCATAACCTGGGTGTCCTAAATGTACAAGCAGGTAGTCGTAAAGAAACTAATTTTTGTATAACACCCAATTCAATTAAATAGGTCTCAAATGCCAAGCCTAAAACAGTTTTGCAACTTACTTCTGATGCAGGTGCAAATCCTGAATTAGACCCTTCATAATCCTGATTTGAAAATCCAAAACCACCAAAACCAGCATTACCAAATATTTTCCTAAATAATTCTTCTGGGTCCATTGTGCTTTGGAAATTTTCAAAACCTATTGAGAAAATAAGAAGATAGTTTAAAAGCATAGACATATCAGTTACTTCAACTAATAGATAGCTATTAATCTAACCAACAAACATGTCAAGAGAATTACCTGAAAATCCTTGTTGACTTCTAAAGCCACTTGTTTGTTGATTACCACCCATGCCAAATGAATCATAATCTCGTCTTTTATTTTCATCACTTAATACCTTCAGTGACAAATAAAAACATTTTCTTAGATTTGTCAAGAATGCTAAATTAGATGAACATTCAATTTTGATTTAGATTTCTAAGTTACCTCATATGCTTCAGACACCTCTTGAAACTTTTTAGCTCCATTTGGGTCTTTATTATTCATATCTGGATGGTACTGTTTGGCCAGCTGAAACAGGATGGGAATATATTTAGTAAATAAACAAAGAACTCAGTGATTTTACCTCATCTTGATTGTTCAGCTTGCAGATAAAGGGGAGAAAACTGGAGATTTTTGCCATTGCAACCTTTTGCATGCAAAGTTCTCCCTGTTGTGAACCTGCTTAGCATGTAGGACCCATGAAGGCTCCAATTCACATATATTGGGTTTTGTATTCATTTAATGTACTGTTTTTTCTATTGCATATTTAAAAAATGTAACCTTTGAAATAAATTTATAAGAAACTATGTTTGGTCTTTGTTATCAATAACTGTTATTTCATTTATTAATAGGCCATAAACCTTTAAATGGACAAGGGGGTCATTAGATCTTATTAATAATAACTTTAAGGTTAAGCATTCATCTGATGCAGTACCACTTTTAAAATCTTTTTTAAACCTATAAAATTGCTATGCATATTGAAAAAAGTGGGGAAAAGTTGGTCTAAAAATAGAAGAAATTCTGAAGTCACATCCATGTAAATTGGAGCAAGACAAGGGGGCATTTGGTTGACTGAATAAAAAAAACATATACAAGAAATAAACAAATTGAAATCAAATGCATACAATAAGACTGAAATTTTGAATCCCTCTGGTTTACTTTGGTAAAAGACTAAGATTATAAGATTATTTGGTTAATTGCAACAAAAATAAGTGAAAATATCTGCCCAAGTTGCAGAAAAATGTTTGAGATTAAGAAAAAAGTGAAGTGGTAGAACCTTTTGAAGGAAGATATATATAATGTGAATGAATAAATAGTGAATTCATATTCACCATTGGCTGAAGAGTATTTACAAGCTTTTCTTTTCAAATATTAACAAAACTAGGCGTCCTGAAGCAGAAAACTGTGTAGAGGTGTTCGCTGTTGAAATATTCCTCAATATTTTACTAAAGCTATTTTTTTTCTAATTAAGTGCATACCTTGTAATAGGCTTTTTTAATAGATGCTGCATCAGCATTTCTGGGGACTCCGAGGACCTCATAATAATCTCTTTTTGCATGATGCGGAGAAGTGTGAAACATAGAACATGGGTTTAAAAGCGTCAGTGCTCTGGGCAGCAGACAAACTGAAGAAAAAAAAGTAATACGTAGAAGTGACAGAAGAGGAATACTGGAAAAACCCAGGTTATTGATTGGATGAAAAGCCATGATTATTCAAATGAAAAGATGTGTGACCCAGCATTTTTGTATGTGGATTGTCGTGGCTTTTAGACAAGATGTGTTTTCACTCTCAAGCGAAGTCTAAAATTATGTCACTGATTGTCTTTTTTGTCTAGACTTTGACCACGCTTTTGTGTGCTGATGAAGACCTTGGATCAAAACATCCTTTGTATCTGTAATAGCCATTAATTTGTGAGGATACTAACTTAACCAGTTTCATTACTACTTGCATAAACCTACTGCAGCTACTATTTTATTTATCCATTTTTAATTATTTGTTTTAAAAATAATCCTTGATTTACACTTCAACAGGACTATCTAAATGAATAAAAGTTGCATCTCACAGTAATTCTACAATGTACGTTTATATTTCAGCCAATTCAATGTTCTAGAGGATGTACTCATACCCCATCTGTTTGGCGGTGGATTTAACTACACCACGGACTGGGGATGGGGGTGAAAAAGGCCACTGACCGAGCATCGTTAGAAATACTATACAATATTTCATACAAATCATATAGACGAATATACCACGCAGCATTGACGAGGTTGACCCCCAGTCACGAATTAAATTCAATGCAGCTACTGTCGTCCCACAGCGCAAAAAAAAATCAATATACTAATAAAATTACTAATCCAATAATAATGTTGTTTCTATCTGACAACTAGTGTAACAATGACGTAATGATACTAAAAATACCGGATAGTAATGTCGAGTAGGTACCTCATCTTCGGGTTATATTTTGGAAAAAGGAAACAATAACAGTGTAATTAAACATGGTAAATATCTCAATTAGATATTAATCTAGAGTTAGTCGGGACATTTCCCAGTTAGTTTGTCGTTTTTGGAAGCGGTTCAGGTTTACTGAGAGTGCTCCACTAGAAATGCTCTCATTTTTACAACCACAAATCTCGCACTTTTTTCTAGCATTCTAAGGCATAGTATCCATTTTAGCATCTTGCATTAAATGATGAGAATTTGCAAGATAAAACCTTTTTTCATTTGTCGTGGATAGGACCCCTAAAATAATTGTAAAAACAGCACACAAAAAAAAACGATGTGTGGCGTTTCAGGGTTAGAGGTCATTCCCGCCATTTCAGCAAAGAGCCGGACTATTATCATGGTTTAAGTGAAATAACAGAATATTTTATTTCAAAATTTCATAATTCAAGCTGGTACATAGATCTAAACAGCAGCCATCTGTAAGTTAGAGTGGTTTCCCCTGGATCTCTATTATTTTACCAAAAAAAAACTTATACACGATGGCTGCTAAAGTAAATGAGCTTGGTTGCATCTGATGGAAACATCGCTAGTCTTTATTTATTACTGAAAAGTTTTAATACTAGCGATGCTCACTAAATTTTAAATTTCATTATTTTTCGATTTAAACATTACCAATGAAAACTAGAAATCAATCTTAAATCTATCAATTACTTAATTTGTTGATAAATAAACTCATTTGGAGCTCAATTACTGATTTTTATTAATTGGCCACTCCCAGCATTGCAATTGCAAGACAAAAATGTCAGTAACAACCATTTGCCTATCTGAAGATAAGAAATCTGCAGGTGGACCTTGCAGCTGATTTGATTTTAGCAGAATATGCATAGTACATTTGATTTTATTACCACATTTCTATTCGTATGGACACTGTCTTTGTCAGGATAAAAATCACAAGATGGAATTAGATCTAGATCTATATTTTTTAATATTTGATTTCATTTTATTTTTTTTAATGGAAGGGTGTTTAAAAAGGAAAACTAAACCAAAATTAATGAATTCGATGACAATTTGCCTTTGTCATGGTCAGAATCAGAAGATGGAATTAATATTTAAGAATTTTTTTTTATGGAAACGTATTGATGCTCATTAAATTTTAATTATTATTTAATTTAACAATACCTGATGAAAACTAGAGATCTATTTATAACCAACCAGGCATTCCATTTGATGGTTCAAGCTCATTTGGGGCTAAAATACAGGATTTTAATAATTGGACTTAGCTGGGACAGCTTTTTCCGTGACAACCATTCTTAGTTCTGGTCCACAAACTTGACAGGAGAGCGACTTTGAATGTTCGTACTTCGTAAGGATCAAGTGAGGGGAGGGGGGAGTGGCGGTATGCGTTAATAAAATGTTTAAGAATATAGAGTATAGATCTAAACTTTTTAAAGATATTCATATGCATATTTATTAATTAGTGTGTTTTAGCAATGTTTTATCAGGGCAATTTATAAAAGACAGCAATGTCATTTTAAAATGAATCTAACCCTCCTCTCTCACTGGACTTGGGACAGGTGTGTTATTCACAAAGTTTTGTCAATGATCAGTTTAAAATACTATGAAGATTTGTAAGTCTTTATTTACTTTTTTAAACTGCAATAGCATTAAAATTGATCAAGTTAGCGTGAAATGCATTCTAAACAGCGTCACAGGCAGTGCGCGTGACGGTCATCTCGCTCGCGTAGTTTTGTCAACCAGAAAAGTATAATCCAAGTCAGGTGAAATATCCATAATTAGGCTTTATTAGCTTAGTTACGCTAGCAAAATAGGCAGAAAAAGAGTGTCAAGTGAAAAGAAAACAATTATATAAGCAGCGATAGAGGATACTACTTAGAGCTTCCGTAACAATAGCGATGACGTCACTCACAAAAAGAAATATTGTTTGAGTGACATATTTGCAATTCCGTTTTCTAAAAATGAGTACAGAAAATTTACAACTTTATTTCAGAAACAGATCAATCTAATAATATCTGACCTAACAGAGCAATTTTGGAACCTTATAGACCGATATTTTAAGTTTTTAAGCAACTTAAACTTTACCCATGTTTACGTTAGACCTCCATGGTCGGAAGCAAATTTTAATTATTTTTTTTTGACATATTCAGATAGCTTAAAATACGCTGAAAATAGCTAAGCCATTGCAAAAATTTCATTTTAGTAAAACAATATATAGTTACATATTTGGATAGAGACTGTCAATCTGATTATAGATCAGTTTGAATTTTTTTTAAATCTGACCATAAACAAAAAAAGCTATGAATTTTTTAGTTATTTTTAAGAGTTTTCCACTAAAAGTGGACTAAAAGCCAGAATACTTTATCAATTGATGTAATTTTAAGACATTTTATAGCTTTTTGTATGCTGAATCTAATGCTGCTATTTTATAAGGTGTCCTTTGATTACATAACTGGCTAATCTCATAGATTATGTAATACCCCCCTCATTTTTTTTTAAAAAATCCATGTGATAAGAAGTCATTCTTTGAATTTAACACTATTTTAATCTATAATATATTCACATATGCTGAAGTTAATGGTGGTATTTAAAATGGTCGACCATTTTTACATAACTATCAAAAGTCTGGTTATGTAATCCTACCCTTTGCTAAAAATATAGCCTACCATAAATTTATTTCGAAATCACTTTTGCTCATTGTCAGTCAGCTTTTAGTTTATACTAGAACAAAATATATCAAAGTTTTTCTTATACAAAGAAAAGGATGCTATTACAATAGTATATTTGTGATTATGTAATTTTTTAAAAATTGTTATGTAATCTAAGTGTAATCCTACATAGGCCGGCATATCTTATTTTAATTATACTTTAAATAAACATTAGAGGACCAATTATTATACTTGCCCAAGATATAGATCTGGTGTGCCTATAAAATGTATAGGCCCAATGTGTATGCTAATAATAGGCCTATGTATTATGTAGGCCTATTACAATGCTAATGAAGTAGCACACTTGTTCTGATTTTGTTTTGGAAAATGTATAACTCATTCAGATTCTAGTTTATAACTTTGCGTGGTCTTATTTGAACATATTTATACAACTATATTAACTACACCAATATAAATATATATAATTAAATAGGCATAGATCTCTTTAAAACTTTCTTTAAAAAAGCATGTGATTGAGTGCTTGGCCGTGTGTAGTAGATTCTATGAATTGCGTAAGATTCCCGTGTCTTGCTATACACAGACACGTGTATTATCAACAGCCGTCGCCTTGATTTTTTTTCAGACCAACAAAATTTATTGCCCTAAACACGAGGTTGGATAGGCTAGTCGGCCAACCCGATGAACGTGTCAGACGAATATTATGTAATTTCAGAGACAAAAGTCTGGCAAGATTTCCTGTTCTATGCCCAACGGTTAGTAACATCAACTCCACAAAGTGAAGGGGGAGGGCGGGGTGAGGCTTATGTAGGCTATGGGTGTTACGTTGGATGTTATACAGAATGCCCACCCCCACCCATCCATTTTAGGTCAGTTTGGCGAGCTAGTATCCTCCCTGAGCCATAAATATCAATAAGACTTTTCCCCCCGTTTAAATGGTAAAGGATAAAATTATGAAAAATGCATGTCGGCTTATATATAAAATAGAAATAGCCATCGAGTCTAACACTGAAACACATGTATCTATCTTTAGAAATTGTTTGCAGTATCATCCAATCAGATTGCCCGCCTAGCATCACGTGACCAGGCATTCGGCTGTGCCACACGGTGTGTAGATCGACACAGCAGAGCAAGCAGTCGGACACCTGTAGGCGCCTTAATATTTGCTCCATTTTAAAATGTATGGACGGCTTTATTTGGGGATATTGTAGAAAAAGTCATACATATAAATAAACTTCCAGATTTCAGCAATGCAGCGAAGGGTTCAAATTAAAAATCGGTCTTTAACTAACCCAGGAAACTTAGTTCAACTTTGCTGTACGATATCTCTGAAAGTATTTAACACAATTCGGTGATAAACCCTGCGCTATGTGCGTCTGTATTTCTGCCAAGTTTCATTGTTCTAATTCTAACTCAATTTGTGTATAAAAATATTGTAACGCGTCGTCTGTTTAAAGACGGCGATTCAAAGCACAGTAGAGCGGTTCAGTCGGACAGCGGTTGGCGCATCATTGATTTTCTGTCCACTTCAAAGTCTATAGACGTCTCTATCTTAGGGCATTATAGTACATATCATACATATTAATAAACGTCCAGATTTCAGCAATACAGCGCAGGGTTCAAATTAAAAATTGGCCTATAAATCACCCGGGAAACTTTGTTGTACGATATCTCCGAAAGTATTGAATATATTTTGATGACGAACATTGCGCTGTATACGTCTACATCTAATCTGTATTTCTGCCAGGTTTTACAGTTGTAGTGTGAAAACTCGAGAGTCTATAGATTAAAAGTCGGGGGGGGGGGGGGGGAAATGCGATTTAATTGGCAATTTCTTCAACGTTTGAAATCATATTGAAATCAAACTTATACAGTTTAAAAGGTTATTCAATTACGAACAGAATGGTGTATAACATGTTAATATAAACACAATAAAAGCATGCAAAAATAGAGTTGAACATGCAGGGGGTAGGGAAAAGCCGGTTTGTCTGATTTTCTCGGCAGCGGCATTGGCTTAGCTATTATAATTAAAATACTAGACTTAACAGTTCATTCCGCAAAAAACAAAAACTAGTTGTTTCTGTAAGGCAACTAGCTTAACAATGACATCGTGATACTAAAAATAGCGGATAGAAATGTCAGCGTGGGTACCTCATTTCCGAGTAAGATTTTGGAAAAAGTAATCAATAATACTGTAAATATACATGATAAATAAATCAATTAGGCCTATATTAATTTACAGTTAGTCTGCAGTTCTCCCCGTTATTCTGTTGTTTTTGGCTGCGGTTCAGTTTTTTATTGGCAACCAGTTGTTTTTTGTTATTTTCCGGTGAGTAAATAACCTATATTGACACAATTACCATGGCAGCATTTAAAAACTTGTGTACACTAGTTCACAACATCCATCCTGTTATGTCGGCTGGGGGGGGGGGGGGGGGGGGGGGGGGCAAGAACATGGTTTTGGCATTCATTTTCCATTCTAGGATAATTTTGAAATTCTCTCTTTTCTCGGCAACTGAGTAAGCTATATATTTAAATGTGGTGTCAAATGTTCTCTTAAGGGGTAAGGAACTTAATGGTGTATTTTGAAATAACAGAATATTTAATTTTCAAAATCCATAATTAAAACTATTAGGCCTAAATGTAGTTTAATATTCAATTATCTTTGTTATTTTAAGCCATATTTATTAGTTACCTTATCCCTACATTACTAGCGACGGCCGAATTGATTACGCTAAAATGATAGATTACCCTTTGAACCAATTTTGTAAATTTCGAAAACATAAATCATCCTAAAATGTGAAATAATTGCTCAAATTTAATGAGCCACCTTTTTTTCACATTACTAGATCTAGTCTCAGCCAATTTTATCCCTAAAATTTAAAAGGCTGATGCTAGCTGGAATAAGATAGGCGTGCGCAATGGAGAGAAACTGACTTGCCATCGCGGCGATGTTTTCGATGGTACTGCGCATGCATGTGTTTACAACTGCAGAACCCTAACACCAACCCTAATCCTATCCCTAACCCTATCCCGGTAAAACTCCATTTTAGCATATTTTATTCCCCGCTTCACGTTCACCTCCAGTTGAGCGCATTTTATTATAAACACAACCGAAACACACTAAAATGTTAGGAAAACACTAGATCTAGTTATTTTCTTATGAATGTTATTTTTAATTAGAAAAGGTTAAAAAAAACATACAAAAGCATTAGATCTGTTTCAATTAAATATCGTGTGATCGTCAGCGGGAGAAAAATCCTTATATGGTCACTGGTTCACCGTGAGTTCACATTGACTTTAATTATCAGCAGACGTTATAGCTCGGGCAATAGCTGTTTGAAATTGTGTTGGCCTCAGTTTTGGGGTCATTGTAAGTTCATAAATGTTTATTTATAGTAGTTTTTCTCACTAAATCTAGAATTTACGCAATTATCAATTTAAACATGACCACTGAATAATAGACATCCATATTTAATCCATTAGGCACTAACTTTGGAGTTTTTAGTTCTTTTTAAACTAAATTACTTAATTTAATATTTATTGTCAATCACTGCCATGTCCAACACATCTCTCCATGACAACTCTTCTAACCCTTGAAGTTAAAGAAAACCACAAATCAGGTTAGACTTTTTAAGTGGCCATGCACAAGAGTTCCTCACTAGTGATCTCCAAATAGTGGTCACGTGGTTTTTTTTTCAAAAAAATTTGGTTGTCATTTTTGCGGCTGGTCTTATAAAAAAACGGTTGATGATATTTGATTTATTTTTTCATAGACTGATAAAACTAATAATGCTTTACTATGGAAATCAATTTTGTAATATGAAAATCGATATTTAAAAAGTTCTAGTATTTTTGATGAAACCAACTTTTAAATTTAGCCTTCATTCTCCAACGCAAATTTTAAAATGCTTTTCTGGCATATATAGCCCTGCCACCTATAGCTTGTTGTTATAACGTGAAAGTCCCGCCATTTTGCGCGTGGTAAACATTTTAAAAACTAATTAGTAGAAGGTCTCTGGAATTTGGCCGAAAAATCGTCAGAAGTCAAGCGTCCGGTCCGGGCGCCATATTGTTGTTAGCAACCGAACACGCCTCCAAGTTAGCGAGAAATACTAATTTATAGTATTATGCTTGGGAGATACTTGTAACAATACAAACTTAACCGCCTTGCAATTGTGAGTTACGTTTGCGTACTTCACCCATTGCCATGAAAATTCTAACTGTCACACGAACATCAACATAGCACATTCAATATTCTAAATTTGGATTTTTCTCAAGTTTTGACAAAAGTAAATTATCAAAATCTAAAACAAAGTCAGTCTCTTTGTTTTTTTATTCATTTGTTAATACAATACAAATAAATAAATCATGTTTTCCTAATGTTTTGGTGTTTCAGTTATTATAATAAAATACTTAAAAATACGCTCTACTGGAGGTAAACAAGCGGAGAATAAAATACGCTAAAATGGAGTTTTACCCCCTATCCCTAATCCTATTCCTAACCCTAATTCTAGCTCTAACCCTAGGTCACTGCGCATGCGTAGAGCTATCTTTTGCCGACTAAGTGTAGACGTTGGGGAGAAAAATCTTTCGAGTAATCACTTCGAATTTAAAATGTCCCCCAAAACTCAAAAGGATAGATTACCACAACACTACATTCTTAATCTTACCTTTGCTATTATTGTAACGTGATAAATATACGATAGATGTCAAACGAGAAAGATGTAGCCATCTGCAATCTATTTTGATGATATCGCTTTGACTACTTTGAGCAATGGATTTTCTGCAAACGACCTTGCAATGAAGAACAAGTCGTGAGCCCCTAACAGCAGCCATGTTGGATTCACCGGAAATGTACTCTATACAAATAAATATAAACTTTGGGTTTCGCTGTTTTCATCAGGCCTAGTCTACAACTAGCCTATAATATATTATAATGTGCACGTTGTAATGGGTCCGCTTTCGGCGAAAACCTCACCCCCTTCGCCCCTATCCGATGTGGGCGTCCACAAAAAAATAGTAGATCTAGACCTCAAAACTTACTCCTAATTTAGATTTACAATTTCAACATCCTATATTGTGTTCTGATATAACGGAAAAATTAGTACACTAGTTTTAGTAATGTGTTTAAAATAATGCAGGAGTATAATGCTGCTAGCATGCCCGTCCCTGCGCGTTGCCGCGGGGTTAGAAGAAAGTCCAAGGATAGCCCGGGAAAAATCGCACACTACAGGGGCGTCGGCAGAAGCGCCTGATTCAATTTAGTGAACGACTATAACGCCTCATGTTATCCATAGTCTATCGCACTGTGTAAAATGAATGCAGGCGCCATAGCGCTCACGTGATAGCCCAGGGCGCCAAATTACACCCTGCTGGGGCGCCGCCCGTGCGAAATTGAAATATTTTGTTTCGCAGTAACCTCCCCATGAGTATTCTCAACAATTTCCCAAAGTTTCATGGCGATCAGATGAAAGTTGTAGCAATGCATAAAAGACAAAGTTTGAGAAATATTCTCAACAGTATACTCAACGACTTCTCAAAGTTTCATCATCTACCCGAGGGTCCGAACTCGAGACTTATCGGTTTAGGATACCATCTGGAGATCCAGTTCATCGACGAAGTTTGACTTCTTATTTAAATCCTCAACCATAAACGAACTTCAGAAATCAGAAGAAGAAGAAGGATACCATGAGCTTTACAGCTCGACTCATATTTCACTTTTTAATTTTCCCTGTTCTTTGATTACACGCACACACAAAAATACCGAAGAAAACATTTGGATAACAAGAAAAAATCCTTCAAATTTGTTATGAAATGGTTTTCAAATAGCTGTGAAAATTAATAATAATGACTAATTAATATTTGCTTCTTGGTAAATGTAAACAAATAAAATTGCCCCACGTCACTGGTGAACACTGCGTCCACTACTTCGCAGGGTGTAGTAATTGGTATGCATTTCCTGGGTCACATGAAGACATTGAAGTACTTTGTTTTAAAGCAAATAAAATATAAAATTTCAACAGGATACTCTTGGCAGGTCATTCAATTAGAGAACATGATAATAATTTTTATTCATTGTTTCAATGACAGCCTCATCACTAATTACTTATAGGTGTCCTAAAAGACTTGCGTCATTTTATAGAAGAAAAAATGAAATTTTAAAAATTAGATTAAAAATTACAAAACTCTAGATTCCAGCAATAATATTTTTTTTGTCCATATGATACGCTTGTCGGATAATCTCTTTCTATATTACTAATAAACCCGTTTGGGCCTTTAATAAGGTATTTTGTTGAAGTAAAATGCATATTTTTCAAATTTTAGGTTTTTATTTTTTGCTGTTATATTTGATTTGTGGAGGTTAATTGGAAACCGTATCTATATCTACTAGCCATTGGTAGCCGTTACACGTGAAATAGACTATAGATAGGCCTATATATTTTTAATGTTATACTTGTTTGAGAAAAATAATTTATAAATAGTTATTCGTCAAAACGTATTGTGCTTTACTACATGTTGAACGATATGAGTTTATTTTCCTACTTTAAATACAATTTATGTAATTAATACATCCAACATATTATTTTCAACGAAAGTCTGTATCAGCATCATAAAGTTTTCCATATCAATTTCTGGAAGATCATTCATTCATCATTAGTCCTCTTTGCTCCTTATGGAGCATAGGGCCTCCACCATTTCCTTCCATTTCTTCCTATCCTCGGCTATTAATTTTGACATCTCCCAAGACATCCCTATTGGCTTCAGTTCTTCAAGAAGACTCCGCCTCCAGGTCTGTCTTGGGCGCCCTCTCTTCCGCTTTCCCTGGGGGTTCCACTCAAGCGCTTGGCGTGTAACATTTGTGTGAGCCTTTCGCAGTGTGTGACCCACCCAGCGCCACTTCCTCCTTCTTATTTGCACACCTACAGGCTCCTGCCTAGCTTTCCTCCATAGTTCCAAGTTCGGCACTTTGTCCTGCCATCTCAGTTTCAGTATCTGTCTAAGGCATCTATTCATGAAGGTCTGTATCTTTGCTGTGCTTGCCTTGGAGACTCTCCATGTCTCTGCTCCATACAGCAGAACTGCCTTGACATTAGAGTTAAATATCCTAATTTTTGTGGTAATGGAGATGGCCGAACTTTTCCATATGGGTCGCAGGACTGTGAAAGCGCAGCGGGCTTTATTAACTCTAGCGCGTATGTCCTCCTCTGTGCCTCCCGTTTTGCTGATCTTGCTGCCAAGGTAGACAAACTCTTGCACATCATTTACCTGTCTTCCGTCTATTGACACTGGAGCCTCCTGTTTATTGTTAATTCTCATCATTTCCGTCTTTTCTTTGTTGATCTTCAGACCTACGCGCTGCGAGATGGCTCCTAATGCATCAACTTTTTCTTGCATGTCCTGTAGCCTGTGCGAGAGTAAGGCAAGATCATCCGCAAACTCCAGATCTTCTAGTTTCCCCGTGAGTGTCCACTGAATACCTTTTCCAGAACTGGCATAGGCTGTGCGTGTCACCCAGTCGAGAACTACCAAGAAGAGGAGGGGCGACAGCAGACATCCTTGTCTCACACCTGTGTTGACCTGGAACTCTTTAGACAGTTTCCCTGCATGGCTAACTTGGCATGAAAATCCATTGTAAAGTTGCTGGATTATTTCCACTAACTTAGCAGGTACACCATAGTGTCTCAACAGATTCCATATTGTTTGCCTATCCACACTATCAAAGGCCTTCTCAAAGTCAACAAAGCAGATGTAAAGCGGGGCCTGCCATTCTATCGTCTGTTCTACAATAATTCTAAGAGTGGCTATCTGATCTGTACAAGATCTTTCCTTCCTGAATCCTGCTTGTTCCTCTCTTAGCTTAAGGTCAACCGCCTCTTTCATTCTGTCCAAAATAACTCTGGTAAGGACTTTACTTGGTATGGACAACAAGGTAATACCCCTCCATTTTCCACACTGAGATAAATCACCGTTCTTAGGCAACTTCACAAGGAGGCCCCTTTTCCAATCGGTTGGGATCTGTCCTGTGTTCCAGACTAAGTTAAGTAATTTATGAAGTCGATTTACTACTTCTTCCCCACCTTGTTTTAATGCCTCTGCTGGGATATTATCTGGTCCTGCTGCCTTGCCACTCTTCAAACTATTTAAGGCGTTGAGAATTTCCTGTCTGGTGATTTCCTCGGTATTGATGTTAAGGGGTTCCCCTGGCTCCAGGTCTGGTGGATCTTGAGGTGCTGGACCGTTTAGTACTTCCTGGAAATTCTCTCTCCATCGTGCCAATTGTTCCTCAATTGACGTTAGAAGTTTACCATTTTTGCTCCTCACTGGCCTGTTGGTATTGGTTTTCCTCCCACTCAGAGCTCTGGTTGTTGCATAGAGCGTCTTGAGATCTCCCTTACTGGCAGCTGTTTCGGCCTGCTCTGCCATTTCATTTATAAACAATCTCTTGTCATTTCTTAGTTTCCTTTTCACCTCTTTAGCCTTTACGTTATATCGAGCGGCTGCAGCTTGTTTTTGCTGCCGTGTTTTTGCTTGATTTAGTTCGCTCTTTAGGCTTTTTCTTTCTTCCACCGTCTGCCATGTATCATCTGTGATCCAGGGCTTCCTGTTTGGCGCTCTGCCTCCTAGAGCCTCTTCGCAGGCTTCAATAGTGGCTTGCTTAAATACTTCCCAGGTGTGTTCAACTGAATCAAGATCTTTCTCTTCTGTCTGTAGAGCTTCAAACCGATTCTTTAGGGTGACCTGAAAATTTGTCCTGTTGTCTTGCGTCTTAAGTTTACTTACATCAAATCTTCTTCGTGGATCAATTTCATGTTGCCTCTTCTTTGCCTTTAGCTTCATCTTCAGTTTAGCAACAACCAGGTGGTGGTCGGATCCTATGTCTGCTCCTCGCTTTGCTCTCACCTCCTGCAGTGAGGCCCTCCAACGACGCCTTACCGCGACATGATCAATCTGGTTTTCGGTATGATGATCTGGTGATATCCAGGTGGCTTTATGACACCTTCGGTGGGTGAAAAGTGTACCGCCGATAGTAAGCTCATTTGAGGCACAAAAGTCTGCGAAGAGTTCACCATTTTCATTCATTTCCCCTAGGCCATTGGTTCCCATCTCCATTTCCCTGCCTCTGTTGTCTTTGCCTACTTTGGCATTTAAATCACCCATGAGGATCAGCATGTCGCGCTTGGGTACCTTATCAACCACCGACTGAAGATCTTCGTAGAAACGGTCTTTTTCTTCCTCGTCTGCGTTGTTCGTAGGAGCGTAGCACATGATAATGGAGGTCTTTTGAAACCTGGATTCAAATCTAGCTTTAATTATTCGATCAGATACAGGTTCCCATTCCATCAGGCTTTTTGTTGCCTCCTTTGTCAATAGCAAGGCTACGCCTGCCTCTCGTGGGTCGTCCTCATTTTCTTTTCCCGAGTATAACAGTGTTTCTCCCGTCTGGAATTTTGTCTCTCCAAAGGTGTTCCATCTTGTTTCGCACAGGCCAAGCACTGTAAGATGATACTGTTGCATTTCTTTCACTGCCTGTGCACACTTCCCTGCTTCCCATAGTGTTCTGACGTTCCATGTTCCTATGAGGATAGGTTTCTTTTGCGACAGTAGTTTTGGGGCTGTGGATTTAGTTTTCCTCGGTTGAAGAAGGGGGGTCGGCTCTGTAGCTTCCTTATGGATTTGGCTGCATTGCGTCATACTTCTCCTAAGTTTAGCCCTGATTCTCCCGAGGACTGGATTTGTTTCGGATTTGGCTTTGGTTTCTGTAACTGTCTTTTGTTTTATGTGGACGAGTAGTTAGCCCATCGCACAACCCCCAACCTGGAGGACCAGGGCACATCGTTTGGTCTGGCCCCTACCCACGCAGATCTGTCCGACTTGGTTAGACCTGCCCCCCCCCCCCCCACACACACACCAACAAAACATGTCTACCGTCCCATTCAACGAAATAGAATTATATACTTTTTCCAGTGTCCGCCCCCTCCCAGAAAATTCTACCCCCGCCCCCGAAAATTTCAAGTACCCCCACCCCTCTCCGGGGATGAAAAAATCTGAAAGAAACACTGGTCGCATTTGTAGATCATACAAACTAAAGGAAGAATCTGGGCGGGGCTTCGCCCCCTACCAGAAGAGATGCTTGAAAAAAAACTGCACGCTAAACACTTTTTAGATTGGAAAAAGTTCCCCCCTCCGGGGAGGAAAAAGTCTGAAAGAAACACCGGTGTCGCGCTTAGCCACTACCCGAAGAATTGCATTAAAGAAATTGCAAGAAAACCACTTTTTAGATTAGACACATTAATTAGGCGGTAATTTTATTATAGAGTATCGATGAAGAAATTTCTTTTGAGTTGGGGAGGGGGGCTCAGACGTTCTTACGCGGGGGTGGGGCTTCGCCCCAACCTGAAGAATTGTACGAAAGAAACTCTTCACGCAAACCACTTAGATTAGACAAAATTGCCTTTTTATTCAATGTTTACTCGAGAATCAATGACGTCATATTACTGTGCACTCTCCGGCTTGATATTATTTTCTACTATATGACGTCATATTTCGTTTTCGTTTCACTGTGGACGTTTTTAAATTGCTTGTGTTTTCTCTAGAGCGTTCTTGTCAGATACATAGATAGATAGATAGATACACAGACAGCGAAACTATTATTATAGATTTACACATTGAACTCGAGATGTTTCACATTTGTATCTCTAAACTAGTCGGTCCAAAGGTCAATGCTTTAAGGAGATGTGATGCTAAACACTCTCCAACTGTTTGAACCTTGAATATAAGAGACGTGTACCTTACAACCTTAAAAAAAAACGTCTACATCGGTCGGTTTCTAACCATCCACTGTGCTATATCAGATCCTCCCTACAACTGAGGACGTGTTTTCCAAAATTTAACACCCAGGTAACCCCTTCATATCAGGTTCAGGTGGGGGATAATTCAGTAACTGTGAGCATGGTATTAATGTTTTGTTGCTAATGTTTCTAATCGTGTTTTAGAAAATGAACTCTTTAACTAATGTGCTTGTTTGTTTGTTTGTTTAATAAACAAGTTGGGTAGAGTTGGGTGAATGAGTAGAGTTTGTCGCTACAAAAATTATTTTTTTAATGATATATCTATTTGTTAAATCAGCTCTGGCAAAGATGGTTGTATTGCAGTATTGGTGTTTTTCCAGATTGTGATTTATTTTATTTTTCAGTGTGGCCAAAGTTTCTTGGTCGTCTTTTGTGGGTTATTCCATAAATTCTTTTTTTGTCTGTTATTGCGATGTCTATGTTATAATTATCTTTACTTTTCCATTTACCTAACCCATTACTTTTGATTTTTCTGCGTTTATTTTTCCCCCGCTTCCTTTCCCAAAGTTGTTGAATTTTCTATTACAGTGTGTATTGCTTTTTCTATTTGTACTAATGTAAGCCCTGCTAGGGGGGGATACCTTAAAATCTATCTTACCCTTCCCTAGGCTTATCTAACTAACTACTGTCCGGTCAGTGCAAGCCCGGCTAAACCCAGGCTGGTTAATAACCTAACCTTAGTCTAAATTAAAAACAAAAAAACTTTAACAATAATATAAAATTTATTTCACAAAATAATAAATATGGAACCAAAAGTTATTAAAAAAAAACTAGAATCTAGATCTAGACAAAATAAAACACTCAAGACATACAAAACAAACAGAACTCAACGAAACAAAACACCCAATTTCGGACCACCGTCGTTACCATACACCACATAAACGTGACACAGAAACTCTTCAACACACAGGCCTCGACATTCCAGCCGAATGTCCCTCCCTGTCGACACACCACATTCACGAACAAAGGAACCAATACTACGAACAAAGAAACCAATGCTACGCACAAGAAAATAGTCCCTAATACAATAATAAGTAACATTCAGGACATAAAGCAAAGTGGAGCAACAATCCAAAACAAAGTTTGCATAAATAATAACATTAAAATATAAACAAGACACAATAACCAGGCTACAAACCATTGTAAAATCAAAATCATATCAGCGCCATAATAGCGAACTACTTAACTAAAAACCACAACAATCCTCAAAGGAACATAAAAAGCGACATTCGCCTTCTTAGTTACAAATAATTATAATAACAGATAAACACACTCCAGCCGCTCACATACACGCCCCTTAAAGCTTGCGGTCACCGCAAGCTAAATAACTTGAAAAAAAATCAGCCCATAGGGCATAATCATAAATGTTACAAAAAAACATTGTCGAAAAAAATCAGCCCACAGGGCATAATCATAAATGTTACAAAAATACAAAAGCTTTGCACAATCACAATTTTGCAAAAGAACTTGCAAAAAAATCAGCCCGCAGAGCACAATCATAAATGTTACAAAAAACAAAATTCTGCAAAAAGATCAGACGATGTGGCTGTAGCAGCCGGCGGTACAACTTTGACCGGCCTTGGGGAGGGCGGTTGAGCCTGGGGAGGTACATATCTCCTGATCTGGGTGCTGGCCACCCGGCGGGTGCCAGAAGGGCCATCTTTCTTTTTAATGGCGTAACACCCGCCGGTGATTGGAGGTAATTCGACCACGACATAAACTGTCGGGTCGTCCAGGTCTGCCATTTTGCGTCTGCCTAGTGGGGGTTGTCTCAGAAGGACCAGATCGCCTATGGCCAGTTCAGCTACATGTGCCTTTTTGACCTGCTTGTCCTTCTTGCTTGACTCTGTCTGGGGGCATTCCCCAGCACCACCACCCGGTGCCTTAATTAAGGATGGGTTAGGTGGACCCATTGCCTCTAGTTCCTCAGATTGGTCCACCTTTATACTGGTTATGCTGGCGCGTAGGCAGGATGTTGGGCCTGATACCACTGACGGATCTGGGTGAAAAGGTTGGTCTAATGGCTGTACCCCCTTGTCGTCCTTCATTCTGGGGTCTCCTTTCGTCGCCTGAATGGTTGGTACACTCTTGGCAGGCACCAGAGTCCTTTCGCGGGGGCGGAGGACCTTGCCCCCTCGCCATACCTTCGGTGTCACCCCTGGGGGCTTGATCAGGTGGGCCAATGTGGTCAGGTCCTGGAGAACGTTCATGCCCAACAAACAGGGTGGAGCTGATGAGCCACCCACTGGATCCTTTATCACAAGGAACCCCTTGTCGCGTATTTCTTCCTTGTTGATCTCCAGGTCAGTAATAAAATAGCCATTGTATGGGATGGCCAACCCATTTGCTGCTCTCAAGGACAGGGGTGTGTCTGTTCTTAGGATAATGTTCTTGAGGCTCCTGTTACAAAATGTTTCAGTGACCGTGCTGACTTGTGAACCACTGTCTATAACGGCCGTCACCGGTACACCTTGTAAATACACAGTCAGGGTGGGGCACTGTCCAGCCAGCTTGTGAATGGTGGAGCTTGGGCTCTGCCCACCAGCAGTAGTAAGACTCTGAATCACTGCGGCCTCCTGTTTCTTTGAGTTTCGACAATTGCGGGCGAGGTGACCTTGCTGGTTACAATTGTAACACATTCTTGTTTCCGCCTCTGGACGTCGGCGGGGTACCCTTCGGCTAGATGACACTTGAGGGTTCTGTGCCAACTGAGTCAACAGAGCCGATAGCTGCTCTGCGAGCTTGTCCACCCTGTCTTCCAGCTTAGACCTGGGCAGGGTGGGTTCTTCCTTGGGGCGGGCATGTAGAGCTGCCACATAGGCAGGTTCTGTCCCTGGATCCTCGTCTCCAGACCATCGAATGGCCGCATCCCGTATGGCCAGGAAGGGGATCTTAGGGTCCCTGAAAACTAGTTCTTGCAACTGACGTCTGACTGAGGACTGGCTCAGCTTTTCCATAAACTGGTCCCTTAGGAACTCAGCATTCGTCTGAGGGACCTGCAGGGTGCCCTGTCTGGCAACAAGGGCCTTGAAGGCCCTGTGCAGGCGGTGCGAGTAGGCCCTCACCGACTCGTGTTGGCCCTGCACAACCATTTGGAGTTGCGCCATTAGCTGGGAGACGCTCCTCTTCTCCCCATAGACTTCTCGGAGGAGCCTGATGGAGGCCTCTGGGTCACGTTGCAGGTCATCTCCCCTGCAGCTCAGTTCTTCTCTCACAGCTTCCCCCAGGTACTGCCAGAGAAGGTCCTTCCTCTCTTCCACTGAGACGTCTCTTCTGGCCCTCCAGAGAGACTGGACCTCGTCAATGAATCGTTCCACCTCATAGCCGTGGCTGTCCCCATGAAACTTCCGGATGAGGATCTCCCTGGGTGGAACGATGCTGATGGTTTGTGCCACCTCCGCCATCTCGTCCGAATTGGGTGTTTTAAACAACAAACAATTCCTACACTAAACAAAAACTAAACACATATGGTTCCATAAAGGGCCTATCAAGAAACAAAAATTTATCTAAGCTACACTAGCCCTAGAAAAACAAAAATTTAACTAGACTAAAGCACTGACCCCACTCGTGCTACCAATTTGTAAGCCCTGCTAGGGGGGGATACCTTAAAATCTATCTTACCCTTCCCTAGGCTTATCTAACTAACTACTGTCCGGTCAGTGCAAGCCCGGCTAAACCCAGGCTGGTTAATAACCTAACCTTAGTCTAAATTAAAAACAAAAAAACTTTAACAATAATATAAAATTTATTTCACAAAATAATAAATATGGAACCAAAAGTTATTAAAAAAAAACTAGAATCTAGATCTAGACAAAATAAAACACTCAAGACATACAAAACAAACAGAACTCAACGAAACAAAACACCCAATTTCGGACCACCGTCGTTACCATACACCACATAAACGTGACACAGAAACTCTTCAACACACAGGCCTCGACATTCCAGCCGAATGTCCCTCCCTGTCGACACACCACATTCACGAACAAAGGAACCAATACTACGAACAAAGAAACCAATGCTACGCACAAGAAAATAGTCCCTAATACAATAATAAGTAACATTCAGGACATAAAGCAAAGTGGAGCAACAATCCAAAACAAAGTTTGCATAAATAATAACATTAAAATATAAACAAGACACAATAACCAGGCTACAAACCATTGTAAAATCAAAATCATATCAGCGCCATAATAGCGAACTACTTAACTAAAAACCACAACAATCCTCAAAGGAACATAAAAAGCGACATTCGCCTTCTTAGTTACAAATAATTATAATAACAGATAAACACACTCCAGCCGCTCACATACACGCCCCTTAAAGCTTGCGGTCACCGCAAGCTAAATAACTTGAAAAAAAATCAGCCCATAGGGCATAATCATAAATGTTACAAAAAAACATTGTCGAAAAAAATCAGCCCACAGGGCATAATCATAAATGTTACAAAAATACAAAAGCTTTGCACAATCACAATTTTGCAAAAGAACTTGCAAAAAAATCAGCCCGCAGAGCACAATCATAAATGTTACAAAAAACAAAATTCTGCAAAAAGATCAGACGATGTGGCTGTAGCAGCCGGCGGTACAACTTTGACCGGCCTTGGGGAGGGCGGTTGAGCCTGGGGAGGTACATATCTCCTGATCTGGGTGCTGGCCACCCGGCGGGTGCCAGAAGGGCCATCTTTCTTTTTAATGGCGTAACACCCGCCGGTGATTGGAGGTAATTCGACCACGACATAAACTGTCGGGTCGTCCAGGTCTGCCATTTTGCGTCTGCCTAGTGGGGGTTGTCTCAGAAGGACCAGATCGCCTATGGCCAGTTCAGCTACATGTGCCTTTTTGACCTGCTTGTCCTTCTTGCTTGACTCTGTCTGGGGGCATTCCCCAGCACCACCACCCGGTGCCTTAATTAAGGATGGGTTAGGTGGACCCATTGCCTCTAGTTCCTCAGATTGGTCCACCTTTATACTGGTTATGCTGGCGCGTAGGCAGGATGTTGGGCCTGATACCACTGACGGATCTGGGTGAAAAGGTTGGTCTAATGGCTGTACCCCCTTGTCGTCCTTCATTCTGGGGTCTCCTTTCGTCGCCTGAATGGTTGGTACACTCTTGGCAGGCACCAGAGTCCTTTCGCGGGGGCGGAGGACCTTGCCCCCTCGCCATACCTTCGGTGTCACCCCTGGGGGCTTGATCAGGTGGGCCAATGTGGTCAGGTCCTGGAGAACGTTCATGCCCAACAAACAGGGTGGAGCTGATGAGCCACCCACTGGATCCTTTATCACAAGGAACCCCTTGTCGCGTATTTCTTCCTTGTTGATCTCCAGGTCAGTAATAAAATAGCCATTGTATGGGATGGCCAACCCATTTGCTGCTCTCAAGGACAGGGGTGTGTCTGTTCTTAGGATAATGTTCTTGAGGCTCCTGTTACAAAATGTTTCAGTGACCGTGCTGACTTGTGAACCACTGTCTATAACGGCCGTCACCGGTACACCTTGTAAATACACAGTCAGGGTGGGGCACTGTCCAGCCAGCTTGTGAATGGTGGAGCTTGGGCTCTGCCCACCAGCAGTAGTAAGACTCTGAATCACTGCGGCCTCCTGTTTCTTTGAGTTTCGACAATTGCGGGCGAGGTGACCTTGCTGGTTACAATTGTAACACATTCTTGTTTCCGCCTCTGGACGTCGGCGGGGTACCCTTCGGCTAGATGACACTTGAGGGTTCTGTGCCAACTGAGTCAACAGAGCCGATAGCTGCTCTGCGAGCTTGTCCACCCTGTCTTCCAGCTTAGACCTGGGCAGGGTGGGTTCTTCCTTGGGGCGGGCATGTAGAGCTGCCACATAGGCAGGTTCTGTCCCTGGATCCTCGTCTCCAGACCATCGAATGGCCGCATCCCGTATGGCCAGGAAGGGGATCTTAGGGTCCCTGAAAACTAGTTCTTGCAACTGACGTCTGACTGAGGACTGGCTCAGCTTTTCCATAAACTGGTCCCTTAGGAACTCAGCATTCGTCTGAGGGACCTGCAGGGTGCCCTGTCTGGCAACAAGGGCCTTGAAGGCCCTGTGCAGGCGGTGCGAGTAGGCCCTCACCGACTCGTGTTGGCCCTGCACAACCATTTGGAGTTGCGCCATTAGCTGGGAGACGCTCCTCTTCTCCCCATAGACTTCTCGGAGGAGCCTGATGGAGGCCTCTGGGTCACGTTGCAGGTCATCTCCCCTGCAGCTCAGTTCTTCTCTCACAGCTTCCCCCAGGTACTGCCAGAGAAGGTCCTTCCTCTCTTCCACTGAGACGTCTCTTCTGGCCCTCCAGAGAGACTGGACCTCGTCAATGAATCGTTCCACCTCATAGCCGTGGCTGTCCCCATGAAACTTCCGGATGAGGATCTCCCTGGGTGGAACGATGCTGATGGTTTGTGCCACCTCCGCCATCTCGTCCGAATTGGGTGTTTTAAACAACAAACAATTCCTACACTAAACAAAAACTAAACACATATGGTTCCATAAAGGGCCTATCAAGAAACAAAAATTTATCTAAGCTACACTAGCCCTAGAAAAACAAAAATTTAACTAGACTAAAGCACTGACCCCACTCGTGCTACCAATTTGTAAGCCCTGCTAGGGGGGGATACCTTAAAATCTATCTTACCCTTCCCTAGGCTTATCTAACTAACTACTGTCCGGTCAGTGCAAGCCCGGCTAAACCCAGGCTGGTTAATAACCTAACCTTAGTCTAAATTAAAAACAAAAAAACTTTAACAATAATATAAAATTTATTTCACAAAATAATAAATATGGAACCAAAAGTTATTAAAAAAAAACTAGAATCTAGATCTAGACAAAATAAAACACTCAAGACATACAAAACAAACAGAACTCAACGAAACAAAACACCCAATTTCGGACCACCGTCGTTACCATACACCACATAAACGTGACACAGAAACTCTTCAACACACAGGCCTCGACATTCCAGCCGAATGTCCCTCCCTGTCGACACACCACATTCACGAACAAAGGAACCAATACTACGAACAAAGAAACCAATGCTACGCACAAGAAAATAGTCCCTAATACAATAATAAGTAACATTCAGGACATAAAGCAAAGTGGAGCAACAATCCAAAACAAAGTTTGCATAAATAATAACATTAAAATATAAACAAGACACAATAACCAGGCTACAAACCATTGTAAAATCAAAATCATATCAGCGCCATAATAGCGAACTACTTAACTAAAAACCACAACAATCCTCAAAGGAACATAAAAAGCGACATTCGCCTTCTTAGTTACAAATAATTATAATAACAGATAAACACACTCCAGCCGCTCACACTAAGAAAGTAGTGACGTCTGCGTATGCAAGTATTTTCTTGCCTACCTTGTTTGGAATGTACAGTGCTTTAATAGAGTTGTCCTGTCTAATGTTCTCAAGTAGGGTTTTTAAGCTAAGGATGTAGCCTATAGTAGGGGAGATGAAGAACAACCTTGTCTAACTGATTTCTGTATGACAAATGCGCTTGTAACACTTGTTTATTAATAAATGACTATGTGCATTGTTGTATACTATTTTTATCTATTGTTTTCATAAACCATGTATGATCTACTCCAGGGGTCTCTAAACTAAGGTTCGCGGGCCGGATGCGACCCGCGATCTTTTTGTTCACACAATAAATGTTTGTTGGAGGTGGCTGAGGAACTATGTCCATAAAATTCAAAACAATTTGAAAATGTAGCTTTGTGTGCAAATACCATTGCCTGTCGTGTTGCAGACATTGGTGAAAACATTGTGATTCAAATAACGAAAAATGCAAGCACGTTTTGCCCTTTTTAAAATTGCAATGGATGAGTCGCTGGAAAGCTGTTCCACCTCTCAACTTCTAGCATTCATTAGACGTGTGGATGCAGACATGAACATAACACAAGAGCTGGCTTCCCTGTATAGAATGTATACTACCGGGGAGGATATCTAACAATAGATAACTTAGAGACATGTTGAAAGATACAAACACAGAATCGCAAGATTTACCAAATTTCACAGCAGTAATATGGCTAGTTTGCGAGAGAGTTCTGAGCAGATTATTTAAGTTAAGAAATGAAATAGGTGACTTCCTGGAAAGTAAAGGCAAGCCAAAGCCATTAATGTCTGATGAAGAGTGGCATATGCTGCAGACATAACTAGTCATTAAAAATTCTGAACCTAAAATTAAGAGAGGGAATATAGTTTCTGATCGATACACCCACTAAAGGCTTTCAGATTCAAACTTATCATGTTTTTGGAACAAGTACAGGCCAACAACTTGATGAACTTTCAGCAGTTCAAGGTCTTTACGACTGAAACAACCACTGAGTTCCCCACGTCATTTGCATGTGAGATCACCAAAGACCTCCAGATGCAGTTTCAGTAGCGGTTTTCTGACTTGGATTTAAAGGAAGAAGAAGTGAGACTATTTCAAAATCCATTTGAAGCAAATGTGGCCAGTTGTAAAGATGAACTGCAGTGGAGGTAATTGAATTGCAAGCAAATGACCCCCCCCCCCCCCCCATGAAGAGATGCCTTAAAGAAACTCTGGCCCCTGAACTGATATTTGATAGTTAATGTGGCCCTCGGGCTGAACATTTTGGAGACCCCTGTAAAATGTAAATAAAAATACACACACAAGGTTCCAAATAGAAATCCAAATTTTAGAAACTTAGGAGATTATATATAAGTAAATTAAAACGAAATAGTATACAGAAATTGAATACATGTCGTGCATTTTACGCGCCTCGCATTGTCTTAAAGTTTATTTATATAACGACTAAACATTTTTGTTATAGTCGACACTTTTTATTAACACGTTTTTATTAACACGTTTTTCTTAACTCAGCTTCGCGTTTGTGGATTTGTTTGTTTGTTGTTAAAATTGACATCGAAAATTAGCCCACTTCTGATTGCTCTACAGATCTGAAATTTGGCATGCAGGCTATTTTCGCCTAACAATTTCAGATGCAATCATAAAAACTAGCAATTAGAGACCTAAATTAGCTTAATTAAATTACGCCCCAAGGACCATAAAATTGAGGACATGATTTCTAAAGATACCGACAAGACTGGAGGCCTATTGACACAGTTACTTCGGCCCCAATCGATGTGAGCGCGATGTGATCGTATAATGGTTAGTACTTCGCGTTGTGGCCGCGACAACCCAGGTTCGAATCCTGGTCACGGCATGTAGGCTTAATTAAATTACGCCCCTTCTCTGTTTAAAGCGTATCGGTCGCTCAGGATTTTTAGTCCGTGTATTTAAAAACACTTAGTCAAGTCATAATTAATCAAGTCATTAGATAAAGTAGAAAATAAACTATATAAAAAACTTTTTAAAAACCACGTTTTTTCATGTGTAGCAACGGACAAAAAGGAGAAAATAAAATACTTAAAAAAAACTTAAAAAAAAAAAAACACGTTTTTCTTGTGGACTAAAAAGTAGAAAATAAATTTTCATACATTTGATGACAAAAAACGTGAGTTGGGCAGATGGGTCGGGAAATTTGATGGTGAACGTACCCACGTTTCTTGTCATCAAATGTATGAAAATTTATTTTCTACTTTTTAGTCCACAAGAAAAACGTGTTTTTTTAAAAAGTTTTTTTAAGTATTTTTTTTTTTATTCTTAACTCAGCTTCGCGTTTGTGGGTTTGTTGTTAAAATTGACAACGAAAATTAGCCCACTTCTGATTGCTCTAGAGATCTGAAATTCGGCATGCAGGCTATTTTCGCCTAACAATTTCAGATGCAATCATAAAAAACTAGCAATTAGAGACCTAAATTAGCTTAATTAAATTACGCCCCTTCTCTGTTTAAAGCGATCTTGTGATGACTGTTCATACATTTGATGACAAAAAACGTGGGTCGGGCAGATTTATGATTAAAGCGAAAAGCACACAACACACGAATTTTTGAAATTTGATGGTGAACGTACCCACGTTTTTTGTCATCAAATGTATGAACAGTCATCACAAGAACCTGCACAGCTCGAGGAAGCACAAAATCTACGAGCAGTCATTGGTAGATCCCCTAGGGTCGGAAGAAAAATTTATTTTCTACTTTTTAGTCCACAAGAAAAACGTGTTTTTTTAAAAAGTTTTTTTAAAGTATTTTATTACTCTTTCGAATAACGTGAAGAAAATATTAAATAAACGCACATTGCTGAAGCATATTAAACGGATCAATGTCAAATAATATTTTAGCTTAGATTGTTAGAAAAATTTGATACATTTTAATGTCACTAACAGTAGGGTCGAAAAAAAATGTAAACAAATGTTTAATAATGAAGCCAGGGTAGGTTATTTAAAAAAGAAATTCAACTCACGCTAATAAAAAAAAATGTGACTGCAAATTCCGCGGACGTATATGATGACATTAGAATATTATAATTAAGGATTGATAAAATGCACGGTGGTAGCTAAAAAACGGATATTTTAAACACTGCCTTTTGTTTACTAAGTTAAATCAGGCGGTTCCGCTGGCACTCCGGGCTAGACTGTGCGCACTTTGCATTTAAGTTGTGTTAGTTATGTAGATTTGTGTTGAGTTTTTTTTTTTGCATTGTGTTTTCTCTTGTGTTTGTATTTTCGTTGTGTTTGTGTTTAATTTTGTTCTGTTCCCAAGTTGGTAGATTGATACATCTAAAAAAAGATTCACCGTGGCGGAGACGGGTATGCAGCTAGTTAGGTACATAGGCCTCTCTCTCTCTCTCTATATATATATATAACCAAATCTCATTGGTTGATGTCAGATCTAACTAAATCTCAAGGACTTTATAGGACTGTATAGGATAATAAAAACAAAATACCAAAGATGTCAAATTTTGTATTTGAAATAAAAACACAGAAACTAAAACATAAAAGATTTAAATAGACCATAACATGTCTTTACATAGTGCATCAATTTGATCGATATTACAACCTCAAGTCCAGTAAGCAAATAGAGCCTACATGTACAATTTTTGCACATATTCTAAAATGTAAGCAACATGACAGGTATGACTTTTTGTATATGCATGACCAAAATGACAGGCATATGAAACAATTGATCAGCCCAAATGGTTGAGCTAATGTATCTATGAGTTAATCAGCCCAATTGCTTCAGCTAATTTATCAAACCGTTGATTACTCCAATTGCTTAAGCTAATTTATCAAACCGTTGATTACCCCAAATGCTTAAGCTAATTTATCAAAATGAAGAGTAGCTCTATCCTTTATTGTAAACTAGGACTCTGTAAGAAAATCAAAGGGACATGACTCTCACAACAGCAGAAAAACAAATGAACAACAACAAAACTACAAGTAGGCTACTATATGTGATGGAATAGTTGAACAGATTTAATACTGCATTATCACTCAGCTGATATTTACAAACATAATTACAAGATTAAATTACACACAATGTTTTGAAGTTGACAATAGCAGGAACTGTCGGGCTATGTAATGTTGACTAATGCTCATTTAAATAAATTGATCAATACAATACTGAAAAAACTCAAAATGTTGATGAAACATCATAACATGTTGAGAAATATCAATTGAATAAAATTCATTCATATTCTTATTGAAAATTAGGTTTTATTAAAATAATAAAAACTGTACAAAAATTTAAGTTGAGCTAATTATAAACAAAATTTTAAAACTTGCAATGCAATATAGGTGAGACATTATTGAGTTAAAATCTGACTCTCTGTATCCAGAGAAAAAAATTAATCATTCAAAAAACTTCCAATCCAAACTTGTCTAAATGTCATCAGACCCCCATCACTGTCTAAATGTCATCAGACCCCCATCACTGTCACGTGTTTAAATGTCATCAGACCCCCATCACTGTCTAAATGTCATCAGACCCCCATCACTGTCACGTGTTTAAATGTCATCAGACCCCCATCACTGTCTAAATGTCATCAGACCCCCATCACTGTCTAAATGTCATCAGACCCCCATCACTGTCACGTGTTTAAATGTCATCAGACCCCCATCACTGTCACGTGTCTAAATGTCATCAGACCCCCATCACTGTCACGTGTCTAAATATCATCAGACCCCCATCACTGTCTAAATGTCATCAGACCCCCATCACTGTCTAAATGTCATCAGACCCCCATCACTGTCACGTGTCTAAATGTCATCAGACCCCCATCACTGTCACGTGTCTAAATGTCATCAGACCCCCATCACTGTCACATGTCAACAGACCCTATCACTTATTGATGAATGAAAGCTCCATGGAAGGGGGAGGGTGAGACTCCACATTGTCGAAATGACAAAATTTGACCCTGTACTTTTACACAGCACAGCACTAGAAATATGAGCAAATCAAGCTAGACAACAAAAATCAAACTAATTCATTTAAAACAAACTTTGTCCTCTAAAACAACATTCTGAACTTATCCTAATTTTTAAAAAACAATCAATTATTTTTAAAATTTAAAACTGATTGTCCATTAATTATGAAAACTGATGAATTACAGGATAAAAAAAATATTTCAGACATTTACTTTGGGTCGTGTATTGAGTGTCCCACAAACTGTTGGAATGAGAAATGTATCATTTAACTGGCATCTGAATCCAGAATTTCCCCTTCACTTTCCATGCTGTCCAAATGCTGTACCTCGCTAGCCTCGGGTGTTTCCTCATCCAGGGCATCAGCCGTCAGTGCCACTCTGGCATAGTCGTCAGTATCAATAGACTTGCAGAAGTGGACAGCATATTTCAGCTTCTCTCTCAGGACAGATCGACAGGAATAGCGTGGCATTTTAAGTAGAAAGAAGCAGGTATAGCTCTCAGGCAGGAAGTTGTCTGGAGGGTTGTATTTATCCAGTACCTGAAAAGAAAATATTTCACTCCTTCATAGCTGTACACAACAAGTGGGGCCAAATGGTAACACTCCCACATCCCCCATGGTTACACTCCCACATCCCCCCCCCATGGTTACACTCCCACACACCCCCCATGGTTACACTCCCACATCCCCCCATGGTTACACTCCCACCCCCCATGGTTACACTCCCACCCCCCACATGGTTACACTCCCACACCCCCCATGGTTACACTCCCACATCCCCCCATGGTTACACTCCCACATCCCCCATGGTTACACTCCCACATCCCCCCCATGGTTACACTCCCACACCCCCCATGGTTACACTCCCACATCCCCCCATGGTTACACTCCCACATCCCCCATGGTTACACTCCCACATCCCCCCCATGGTTACACTCCCACCCCCCCATGGTTACACTCCCACCCCCCACATGGTTACACTCCCACACCCCCCATGGTTACACTCCCACATCCCCCCATGGTTACACTCCCACATCCCCCAATGGTAACAATCCCACATCCCCCCCATGGTTACACTCCCACCCCCCCATGGTTACACTCCCACCCCCCCATGGTTACACTCCCACACCCCCCATGGTTACACTCCCACATCCCCCATGGTTACACTCCCACATCCCCCCATGGTTACACTCCCACATCTCCCCCCATGGTTACACTCCCACATCTCCCCCCATGGTTACACTCCCACATCCCCCCCATGGTTACACTCCCACCCCCCCATGGTTACACTCCCACCCCCCACATGGTTACACTCCCACACCCCCCAATGGTTACACTCCCACATCCCCCCATGGTTACACTCCCACATCCCCCAATGGTAACAATCCCACATCCCCCCCATGGTTACACTCCCACCCCCCCATGGTTACACTCCCACCCCCCCATGGTTACACTCCCACACCCCCCATGGTTACACTCCCACATCCCCCATGGTTACACTCCCACATCCCCCCATGGTTACACTCCCACATCTCCCCCCATGGTTACACTCCCACATCTCCCCCCATGGTTACACTCCCACATCCCCCCATGGTTACACTCCCAAATCCCCCATGGTTACACTCCCACATCCCCCCCCATGGTTACACTCCCACATCCCCCCATGGTTACACTCCCACATCCCCCCCCATGGTTACACTCCCTCATCCCCCCCATGGTTACACTCCCACATCCCCCATGGTTACACTCCCACATCGCCCCCATGGTTACACTCCCACATCCCCCATGGTTACACTCCCACATCCCCCAATGGTAACAATCCCACATCCCCCATGGTTACACTTCCACACCCCCCATGGCTACACTCCCACATCCCCCCCCCATGGTTACACTCCCACATCCCCCCCATGGTTACACTCCCACATCCCCCCATGGTTACACTCCAACCCCCCCCCACCCCCATGGTTACACTCCCACCCCCCATATGGTTACACTCCCACACCCCCCATGGTTACAATCCCACATCCCCCATGGTTACACTCCCACATCCCCCCCATGGTTACACTCCCACATCCCCCATGGTTACACTCCCACATCCCCCCCATGGTTACACTCCCACATCCCCCCATGGTTACACTCCCACATCCCCCCCCCCATGGTTACACTCCCACATCCCCCCCCATGGTTACACTCCCACATCCCCCCATGGTTACACTCCCACATCCCCCATGGTTACACTCCCACATCCCCCATGGTTACACTCCCACATCCCCCCCCCCCATGGTTACACTCCCACACCCCCCCATGGTTACACTCCCACATCCCCCCCATGGTTACACTCCCACATCCCCCATGGTTACACTCCCACATCCCCCCCATGGTTACACTCCCACATCCCCCATGGTTACACTCCCACATCCCCCATGGTTACACTCCCACATCCCCCATGGTTACACTCCCACATCCCCCACTGGTAACAATCCCACATCCCCCCATGGTTACACTCCCACATCCCCCCCATGGTTACACTCCCACATCCCCCCCATGAATACACTCCCACATCCCCCCATGGTTATACTCCCACATCCCCCCATGGTTACACTCCCACATCCCCCATGGTTACACTCCCACATCCCCCCCATGGTTACACTCCCACATCCCCCTCATGGTTACACTCCCACATCCCCCCCCATGGTTACACTCCCACATCCCCCCCATGGTTACACTCCCACATCCCCCATGGTTACACTCCCACATCCCCCCCATGGTTACACTCCCACATACCCCATGGTTACACTCCCACATCCCCCAATGGTAACAATCCCACATCCCCCCATGGTTACACTCCCACATCCCCCCATGGTTACACTCCCACATCCCCCCCATGGTTACACTCCCACATCCCCCCCATGGTTACACTCCCACATCCCCCCCATGGTTACACTCCCACATCCCCCCCATGGTTACACTCCCACATCCCCCAATGGTAACAATCCCACATCCCCCCCATGGTTACACTCCCACATCCCCCAATGGTAACAATCCCACATCCCCCATGGTTACACTCCCACTTCCCCCCATGGTTACACTCCCACATCCCCCCATGGTTACACTCCCACATCCCCCCATGGTTACACTCCCACACACCCCCATGGTTACACTCCCACATCCCCCAATGGTAACAATCCCACATCCCCCCATGGTTACACTCCCACATCCCCCAATGGTAACAATCCCACATCCCCCATGGTTACACTCCCACATCCCCCCATGGTTACACTCCCACATCCCCCCATGGTTACACTCCCACTTCCCCCCCCCCCCCCCCCCATGGTTACACTCCCACATCCCCCCCCATGGTTACACTCCCACCCCCCCCCCCATGGTTACACTCCCACATCCCCCCATGGTTACACTCCCACATCCCCCCCATGGTTACACTCCCACATCCCCCCCATGGTTACACTCCCACATCCCCCCCATGGTTACACTCCCACATCCCCCATGGTTACACTCCCACATCTCCCCCCATGGTTACACTCCCACATCCCATGGTTACACTCCCACACCCCCCCCATGGTTACACTCCCACATCCCCCCATGGTTACACTCCCACATCCCCCCATGGTTACACTCCCACACCCCCCCCCCATGGTTACACTCCCACATCCCCCCATGGTTACACTCCCACATCCCCCCCATGGTTACACTCCCACATCCCCCCATGGTTACACTCCCACATCCCCCCCATGGTTACACTCCCACATCCCCCATGGTTACACTCCCACATCCCCCCATGGTTACACTCCCACATCCCCCCCATGGTTACACTCCCACATCCCCCCCATGGTTACACTCCCACATCCCCCCCCCCCATGGTTACACTCCCACATCCCCCCCATGGTTACACTCCCACATCCCCCAATGGTAACAATCCCACATCCCCCCCATGGTTACACTCCCACATCCCCCAATGGTAACAATCCCACATCCCCCATGGTTACACTCCCACTTCCCCCCATGGTTACACTCCCACATCCCCCCATGGTTACACTCCCACATCCCCCATGGTTACACTCCCACACACCCCCCATGGTTACACTCCCACATCCCCCCATGGTTACACTCCCACCCCCCCATGGTTACACTCCCACCCCCCACATGGTTACACTCCCACATCCCCCCCATGGTTACACTCCCACATCCCCCCCATGGTTACACTCCCACATCCCCCCATGGTTACACTCCCACATCCCCCAATGGTAACAATCCCACATCCCCCCCATGGTTACACTCCCACATCCCCCAATGGTAACAATCCCACATCCCCCATGGTTACACTCCCACATCCCCCCATGGTTACACTCCCACATCCCCCCATGGTTACACTCCCACTTCCCCCCCCCCCATGGTTACACTCCCACATCCCCCCCCATGGTTACACTCCCACCCCCCCATGGTTACACTCCCACATCCCCCCATGGTTACACTCCCACATCCCCCCCCATGGTTACACTCCCACATCCCCCCATGGTTACACTCCCACATCCCCCAATGGTAATAATCCTACATCCCCCCATGGTTACACTCCCACATCCCCCCCATGGTTACACTCCCACATCCCCCATGGTTACACTCCCACATCCCCCAATGGTAACAATCCCACATCCCCCCATGGTTACACTCCCACATCCCCCCCATGGTTACACTCCCACATCCCCCATGGTTACACTCCCACACCCCCCATGGTTACACTCCCACATCCCCCCATGGTTACACTCCCACATACCCCCCCATGGTTACACTCCCACATCCACCCCCATGGCTACACTCCCACATCCCCCCCATGGTTACACTCCCACATCCCCCCCCATGGTTACACTCCCACATCCCCCCATGGTTACACTCCCACATCCCCCAATGGTAACAATCCCACATCTCCCCCATGGTTACACTCCCACATCCCCCAATGGTAACACTCCCACATCCCCCATGGTTACACTCCCACTTCCCCCCATGGTTACACTCCCACATCCCCCCATGGTTACACTCCCACATCCCCCCATGGTTACACTCCCACACACCCCCCATGGTTACACTCCCACATCCCCCCATGGTTACACTCCCACCCCCCCATGGTTACACTCCCACCCCCCACATGGTTACACTCCCACATCCCCCCCCCATGGTTACACTCCCACATCCCCCCATGGTTACACTCCCACATCCCCCAATGGTAACAATCCCACATCCCCCCCATGGTTACACTCCCACATCCCCCCATGGTTACACTCCCACATCCCCCCATGGTTACACTCCCACATCCCCCCATGGTTACACTCCCACTTCCCCCCCCCCATGGTTACACTCCCACATCCCCCCCATGGTTACACTCCCACCCCCCCATGGTTACACTCCCACATCCCCCCATGGTTACACTCCCACATCCCCCCCATGGTTACACTCCCACATCCCCCCATGGTTACACTCCCACATCCCCCAATGGTAATAATCCCACATCCCCCCATGGTTACACTCCCACATCCCCCCCATGGTTACACTCCCACATCCCCCATGGTTACACTCCCACATCCCCCAATGGTAACAATCCCACATCCCCCCATGGTTACACTCCCACATCCCCCCCATGGTTACACTCCCACATCCCCCATGGTTACACTCCCACACCCCCCATGGTTACACTCCCACATCCCCCCATGGTTACACTCCCACATACCCCCCCCCCCATGGTTACACTCCCACATCCACCCACATGGCTACACTCCCACATACCCCCCCATGGTTACACCCCCACATCCCCCCCATGGTTACACTCCCACATCCCCCATGGTTACACTCCCACATCCCCCATGGTTACACTCCCACTTCCCCCCATGGTTACACTCCCACACACCCCCCATGGTTACACTCCCACATCCCCCCCCATGGTTACACTCCCACATCCCCCCATGGTTACACTCCCACCCCAATGGTTACACTCCCACATCCCCCCCCCCACATAGTTACACTCTCAATGACCATCTCCTAAAATTGTGTTACACTATAATACCCGTTATCCTTGGATAACTGTGGGCATCACATTTATTTGAAATTTTTTTTCTTTCCTCTCCCATCCCTGCTGTCAAACATCTTTACAAAAATCCAGACTGTGGTGGCGTAGAGTGCAGGTGTAGGGTTGACAATGGACGTGTTAGAATTAGATTGTAATTGTGGAAGATGGCGGACTGGGACAGCCGGGTAAGTGTATCAGTAGGGTCTGACATTTTAATTAGATACCACAAAACTGTGGCGACATGCAAATTTATCAGTAGGGTCTGACATTTTAATTAGGTACCACAAAACTGTGGCGACATGCAAATTTATCAGTAGGGTCTGACATTTTAATTAGGTACCACAAAACTGTGGCGACATGCAAATTTATCAGTAGGGTCTGACATTTTAATTAGGTACCACAAAACTGTGGCGACATACAAATTTATCAGTAGGGTCTGACATTTTAATTAGATACCACAAAACTGTGGCGACATGCAAATTTATCAGTAGGGTCTGACATTTTAATTAGGTACCACAAAACTGTGGCGACATGCAAATTTATCAGTAGGGTCTGACATTTTAATTAGGTACCACAAAACTGTGGCGACATACAAATTAGGTTAGGCTTGATGGGGAAGACAAAGAAGTTAGGACAGTGAGGGTTAGAGACAGTCGAGGCTGGACAGTTGGGGCTTGAGCCATTGTAGAGAGAGGATGTGTTTTATATTTTACAGTGTAGATCAAATTTATAGTATTAGTAGTTGATAATTAAAGTTCAAGTTATATTTCATGATTGGACTTGTTGGTATTATTAGTATGCACGGAAATAAGAGTGTTTCCGTCCTCATTATATGTCGATAGTCGGAGTAAAAGTAATAGAAGTAGTTCATCATATATAACGCACATAACAAATTCTCACCATCACATAGACCCCGGTCAACGGAAGTTACAAAAAATTTGATAGAAGGCAGAGAATTAGATCTTTTACTTATATGCAAATATTTAAGGACTAAAATAGTTTAATAAAGAAACTAAATTATTTATTGTGTTTGCTTATTCTTGTTTCTTACTAATTATTAATTAAAGATATAATAAATAAATAAATTTGTGTTTAATTAACAGTTTGGTAAAAAAGAACATTATTCTCTACAAAAATACATATTTTATATTTCTACGCACAGTGCAGATGCTCTAACATAACAGAACAGACAAACAAAAAAATAAAAATACAAACTTGTAAACAAAGGAGACTTTTAGTAGAATATAGATTTCTATAAAAGACACCTCCCTCAAAAGTTTGTGACTGTTTGGTGCTACTAAAGTTTGTAATTATTTGGTACTATCAAGCTATCATTTGCAAGGTTTCTTTATCATCCAAAAAGAACTATCACATTTGAAAAAGGAAACTTTAGTAGAATTAGAGTAGTTAATTTTGACTTATCTCTGTATGTAAAATTTGAATATTGGATTGAAATCGGAATCATTTACCTGAAGTACGAAGTCTCTTCCCCTGAAATCAGCAATAGTTCGTGGCAGCCGGGTACGACCCCATACAAAACGCAGAAACAAGGAGCGTTCGGCATTAGTAAATTCATCCATCACTTCCCAGAACCACTGGATGAGTGGGGCATTGGGCTCAATACCCTTGTAGGTGGCCACTGACTTGAGCAAGCTTAGAGGAATGTCTTGGCTGCCACAAGCCTGATAACAAAAAGGGGAAATAGAAAACAGCTGCATCAACTAGATTTTCACTTACCAAAACATTCAGCGCTTGCTAGTTATCAGATTCTATTTTTGACACCAACTTACCATAGTTTCAAGCTCATAGCCAGTAAACAGAGAGAGCAAAGGTACTGGAATCACCTTAGCCATCCCCTCCCTTACCCACCTTACTTGATCATCAAACTCGTGCAATCTGATAAATAATATAAACATATTTTGGTCCAGAAAATAAAATAAATGGCAACATAATCATTTTGGTCTAGAAAGTAAAAATAATACCAACATGTTTTGGTACAGAAAGTTTAAATGTTGGCAACATATTTTGGTCCAGAAAGTAAAAATAATGCCAACATATTCTGTACAGAAAGTTTAAATGTTGGCAACATATTTTGGTCCAGAAAATTAAAAGGTTCTTCGCATATATCATTAAAATAAAATTGTATTAGAGCGATCAACAATGAAATAATCAGTTTTTTGTCTCCCCTGTAAAATTTACATTTTCGGAGTTAGACAGTTTGCCACTGAGACCATAGATATTTTGGTCCAGAAAGTAAAAACAATGCCAACATATTTTGGTCCAGAAAAATTGCATGAGCACAGAAATATTTGCCGGCAGTTAAGTCAACAATGTAATTTATAATTGAGATGAAAACCTGAAGTGGTCGACTACATGATATAAAATAAAGATGAGAATTAGTAGTGGTCAAGTATGAGAATGTGATATGGTGATGTGAATCTGAGTGGTCAAGTATGAGAATGTGATATGGAGATGAGAATCTGAGTGGTCAAGTATGAGAATGTGATATGGAGATGAGAATCTGAGTGGTCAAGTATGAGAATGTGATATGGTGATGTGAATCTGAGTGGTCAAGTATGAGAATGTGATATGGAGATGAGAATCTGAGTGGTCAAGTATGAGAATGTGATATGGAGATGAGAATCTGAGTGGTCAAGTATGAGAATGTGATATGGAGATGAGAAACTGAGTGGTCAAGTATGAGAATGTGATATGGTGATGTGAATCTGAGTGGTCAAGTATGAGAATGTGATATGGAGATGAGAATCTGAGTGGTCAAGTATGAGAATGTGATATGGTGATGTGAATCTGAGTGGTCAAGTATGAGAATGTGATATGGTGATGTGAATCTGAGTGGTCAAGTATGAGAATGTGATATGGAGATGTGAACCTGAGTGGTCAAGTATGAGAATGTGATATGGAGATGAGAATCTGAGTGGTCAAGTATGAGAATGTGATATGGTGATGTGAATCTGAGTGGTCAAGTATGAGAATGTGATATGGTGATGTGAATCTGAGTGGTCAAGTATGAGAATGTGATATGGAGATGTGAACCTGTAGTGGTCAAGTATGAGAATGTGATATGGAGATGTGAACCTGAGTGGTCAAGTATGAGAATGTGATATGGAGATGAGAATCTAAGTGGTCAAGTATGAGAATGTGATATGGTGATGTGAATCTGAGTGGTCAAGTATGAGAATGTGATATGGTGATGTGAATCTGAGTGGTCAAGTATGAGAATGTGATATGGAGATGTGAACCTGAGTGGTCAAGTATGAGAATGTGATATGGAGATGAGAATCTGAGTGGTCAAGTATGAGAATGTGATATGGTGATGTGAATCTGAGTGGTCAAGTATGAGAATGTGATATGGTGATGTGAATCTGAGTGGTCAAGTATGAGAATGTGATATGGAGATGTGAACCTGTAGTGGTCAAGTATGAGAATGTGATATGGTGATGTGAATCTGAGTGGTCAAGTATGAGAATGTGATATGGTGATGTGAATCTGAGTGGTCAAGTATGAGAATGTGATATGGTGATGTGAATCTGTGTGGTCAAGTATGAGAATGTGATATGGTGATGTGAATCTGTGTGGTCAAGTATGAGAATGTGATATGGTGATGTGAATCTGAGTGGTCAAGTATGAGAATGTGATATGGTGATGTGAATCTGAGTGGTCAAGTATGAGAATGTGATATGGAGATGTGAATCTGAGTGGTCAAGTATGAGAATGTGATATGGTGATGTGAATCTGAGTGGTCAAGTATGAGAATGTGATATGGAGATGTGAACCTGAGTGGTCAAGTATGAGAATGTGATATGGTGATGTGAATCTGAGTGGTCAAGTATGAGAATGTGATATGGTGATGTGAATCTGAGTGGTCAAGTATGAGAATGTGATATGGAGATGTGAACCTGTAGTGGTCAAGTATGAGAATGTGATATGGTGATGTGAACCTGTAGTGGTCAAGTATGAGAATGTGATATGGAGATGTGAACCTGTAGTCCATGGCCAGCTTAACATATTCTGCTCTGTTCTCTGGGCTGATCCTGGTGTATTTGTGACTCAGGTGAGCTTCTTGCCCTGTGGCACTCGGGATACTGAATGGCATCTCCGCCCCACGCAGAGCCTCATCCTCCATTTCTTTAATACACATCAAGCCTGAGGGAATACAGTTACACATCAAGCCTGAGGGAATACAGTTACTTACACATCAAGCCTGAGGGAATACAGTTACTTACACATCAAGCCTGAGGGAATACAGTTACTTACACATCAAGCCTGAGGGAATACAGTTACTTACACATCAAGCCTGAGGGAATACAGTTACTTACACATCAAGCCTAAAGAAATAGATTAGCTGAAGACACTCAAAAAAATCAAGCAAACCACAAGGACAGACATAGAAAAGCTGTGACCTGGAATGAGATCTTTGTCAATCTCTGACAGGTCTGTGATGCTAAGTGCCATCCCAGCCAGTTGTTTCCATGTAGCTTCAGCCATGTTCAGACTGAGTGGACTTCCACTTCGGATGGCTATACCAATTAATATACCTGTAAACATACATAAAATTAATTAATATACCTGTAAACATACACAAAATTAATTAATATACCTGTAAACATACACAAAATTAATTAATATACCTGTAAACATACACAAAATTAATTAATATACCTGCAAACATACACAAAATTAATTAATATACCTGCAAACATACACAAAACTAATGTACCTGTAGAAAAATAAATTTCTAAAAAAATGTTTAAACATTTGTCAATATTAAAACAATTTTATTTGAATTTCTAATTGCATGAAAGAAAATTTTTTCAAAAATAAACAGAGATGTACATGACCACCTAATGAAATCTACATAAAGGGGGGGGGGGGGGGGTGGAAGAGGAGGGTGGAAGAGGAGGGAGTCGTCCATACATGAAGTCAAACTTCTGTGTGTTGGACCTCACATTTCAAGGAAACTTTAAAAATTGAAGTTAAAGAAACTGCTCAATTGTAGTAACTAATTAATAGTTAGGTTTATTCCCATGTTCTATGAAGTTTTGACAATAAAACCTCTCCTAATATTTATAGTAAAGTTTATTCCCATGTTCTATGAAGTTTTGACAATAAAACCTCTCCTAATATTTATAGTAAAGTTTATTCCCATGTTCTATGAAGTTTTGACAATAAAATCTCTCCTAACACATTAGACAGCTGAGACTGGTTGTGTGAACCCACCTAAAAACTTGAACATGTTTTGGTGAACTGGTTGATGCAGCATTGGGTTGAGCAAGAAACAATCCCGGTTGGCCCCTGCTTCATCCCTTCCATTGGGGGTGACAATCAACAAAGGAAGGGATCCATTCTGGAGTTCCTCACACATCTCAACTATAGATTCACTGTAACCACCACCACAGTCGTCCACACCCTCTCCTGTCAGAACATATGGCAACCAAGTTTCAACTGAACAGAACCACAAACAAACTTTCTATGGGCCAACATGTGACTCACCAACACACTTTCTGTGGGCCAACATGTGACTCACCAACAAACTTTCTGTGGGCCAACATGTGACTCACCAACACACTTTCTGTGGGCCAACATATGACTCACCAACACACTTACTGTGGGCCAACATATGACTCACCAACACACTTTCTGTGGGCCAACATGTGACTCACCAACACACTTTCTGTGGGCCAACATGTGACTCACCAACACACTTTCTATGGGCCAACATGTGACTCACCAACACACTTTCTGTGGGCCAACATGTGACTCACCAACAAACTTTCTATGGGCCAACATGTGACTCACCAACACACTTTCTATGGGCCAACATGTGACTCACCAACACACTTTCTGTGGGCCAACATGTGACTCACCAACAAACTTTCTGTGGGTCAACATGTGACTCACCAACACACTTTCTGTGGGCCAACATGTGACTCACCAACACACTTTCTATGGGCCAACATGTGACTCACCAACACACTTTCTGTGGGCCAACATTTGACTCACCAACAAACTTTCTATGGGCCAACATGTGACTCACCAACACACTTTCTATGGGCCAACATATGACTCACCAACACACTTTCTGTGGGCCAACATGTGACTCACCAACACACTTTCTGTGGGCCAACATGTGACTCACCAACACACTTTCTGTGGGCCAACATGTGACTCACCAACACACTTTCTATGGGCCAACATGTGACCAACACACTTTCTGTGGGCCAACATGTGACTCACCAACAAACTTTCTATGGGCCAACATGTGACTCACCAACACACTTTCTATGGGCCAACATATGACTCACCAACACACTTTCTGTGGGCCAACATGTGACTCACCAACACACTTTCTGTGGGCCAACATGTGACTCACCAACACACTTTCTGTGGGCCAACATATGACTCACCAACACACTTTCTGTGGGCCAACATATGACTCACCAACAAACTTTCTATGGGCCAACATATGACTCACCAACACACTTTCTGTGGGCCAACATATGACTCACCAACACACTTTCTGTGGGCCAACATGTGACTCACCAACACACTTTCTGTGGGCCAACATGTGACTCACCAACACACTTTCTGTGGGCCAACATGTGACTCACCAACACACTTTCTGTGGGCCAACATATGACTCACCAACACACTTTCTATGGGCCAACATATGACTCACCAACACACTTACTGTGGGCCAACATGTGACTCACCAACACACTTTCTATGGGCCAACATGTGACTCACCAACACACTTTCTGTGGGCCAACATATGACTCACCAACACACTTACTGTGGGCCAACATGTGACTCACCAACACACTTTCTGTGGGCCAACATGTGACTCACCAACACACTTTCTATGGGCCAACATGTGACTCACCAACACACTTTCTGTGGGCCAACATATGACTCACCAACACACTTTCTATGGGCCAACATGTGACTCACCAACACACTTTCTATGGGCCAACATATGACTCACCAACACACTTACTGTGGGCCAACATGTGACTCACCAACAAACTTTCTATGGGCCAACATGTGACTCACCAACACACTATCTGTGGGCCAACATGTGACTCACCAACACACTTTCTGTGGGCCAACATATGACTCACCAACACACTTACTGTGGGCCAACATGTGACTCACCAACACACTTTCTGTGGGCCAACATGTGACTCACCAACACACTTTCTATGGGCCAACATGTGACTCACCAACACACTTTCTGTGGGCCAACATATGACTCACCAACACACTTTCTATGGGCCAACATATGACTCACCAACACACTTTCTGTGGACCAACATGTGACTCACCAACACACTTTCTGTGGGCCAACATGTGACTCACCAACACACTTTCTATGGGCCAACATGTGACTCACCAACACACTTTCTGTGGACCAACATGTGACTCACCAACACACTTTCTATGGGCCAACATGTGACTCACCAACACACTTTCTGTGGGCCAACATATGACTCACCAACACACTTACTGTGGGCCAACATATGACTCACCAACACACTTTCTGTGGGCCAACATATGACTCACCAACACACTTACTGTGGGCCAACATATGACTCACCAACACACTTTCTGTGGGCCAACATATGACTCACCAACACACTTTCTATGGGCCAACATGTGACTCACCAACACACTTTCTGTGGGCCAACATATGACTCACCAACACACTTTCTATGGGCCAACATATGACTCACCAACACACTTTCTGTGGACCAACATGTGACTCACCAACACACTTTCTGTGGGCCAACATGTGACTCACCAACACACTTTCTATGGGCCAACATGTGACTCACCAACACACTTTCTGTGGGCCAACATATGACTCACCAACACACTTTCTGTGGACCAACATGTGACTCACCAACACACTATCTGTGGGCCAACATGTGACTCACCAACACACTTTCTGTGGGCCAACATATGACACACCAACACACTTTCTATGGGCCAACATATGACTCACCAACAAACTAACTGTGGGCCAACATATGACTCACCAACACACTTTCTATGGGCCAACATGTGACTCACCAACACACTTTCTATGGGCCAACATGTGACTCACCAACACACTTTCTATGGGCCAACATATGACTCACCAACACACTTTCTGTGGACCAACATGTGACTCACCAACACACTTTCTGTGGGCCAACATGTGACTCACCAACACACTTTCTGTGGGCCAACATGTGACTCACCAACACACTTTCTATGGGCCAACATGTGACTCACCAACAAACTTGACCTTCCAGACCCTGTGAGGCAACATGAGGCTCTCTGACGTGAGCAACGCTAACCTCTGGGACATCTGACCAAACACAGACTTGAGACCATCTGGTCCAGCTAGGCCCCCTTTTACCCGAGATCTTTTCACCTTAACAATAAGAAATACATTTATTTTTTGGGATCTATTATTACACATAACTTAATTCATTACCAGGAACTATTTAAATACAATGCCTCATTTAGCATTAGAGTAAATTAAAATTAATCACACCAGTTACAATATTTTTTTTCCAAACACGTATTCTATTCAGTTCTATAACCATGTTTACCTGTATTCTATTCAGTTCTATGACCATGTTTACCTGTATTCTATTCAGTTCTATGACCATGTTTACCTGTATTCTATTCAGTTCTATGACCATGTTTACCTGTATTCTATTCAGTTCTATGACCATGTTTACCTGTATTCTATTCAGTTCTATAACCATGTTTACCTGTATTCTATTCAGTTCTATGACCATGTTTACCTGTATTCTATTCAGTTCTATGACCATGTTTACCTGTATTCTATTCAGTTCTATGACCATGTTTACCTGTATTCTATTCAGTTCTATGACCATGTTTACCTGTATTCTATTCAGTTCTATAACCATGTTTACCTGTATTCTATTCAGTTCTATAACCATGTTTACCTGTATTCTATTCAGTTCTATGACCATGTTTACCTGTATTCTATTCAGTTCTATGACCATGTTTACCTGTATTCTATTCAGTTCTATAACCATGTTTACCTGTATTCTATTCAGTTCTATAACCATGTTTACCTGTATTCTATTCAGTTCTATAACCATGTTTACCTGTATTCTATTCAGTTCTATGACCATGTTTACCTGTATTCTATTCAGTTCTATGACCATGTTTACCTGTATTCTATTCAGTTCTATGACCATGTTTACCTGTATTCTATTCAGTTCTATAACCATGTTTACCTGTATTCTATTCAGTTCTATGACTGGGCCATGTTGCTTGTCCCTGACCATAGTAGCTTGAACAACTTTACGAAAAGCTGCTTCCTGTTCAATGGCATCATGAAATTCAGTTTATCTAGCCTTAGCTAAAACTGGCTTATCTAGCCTTAGCTAAAACTGTCTTACCTAGCCTTAGCTAAAACTGGCTTATCTAGCCTTAGCTAAATGTCTTATCTAGCCTTAGCTAAAACTGTCATATCTAGACTTAGCTAAAACTGTCTTATCTAGCCTTAGCTAAAACTGTCTTATCTAGCCTTAGCTAAAACTGTCTTATCTAGACTTAGCTAAAACTGGCTTATATAGCCTTAGCTAAAACTGGCTTATCAAACCTTAGCTGAAGAAACCAGGATTCCCCTCAGAGAATCAAGTCCAGACTCTTCTTTGCCAGTTGTTTGTCCATTTTCTTGCAGGTGCACCATGGGAATGCATGGGCAAAACAGCTCAGAGAAATGATGTAAGAGGACAAGTCTGTTTCTCAAAACTGGCATTTCCATTCCCTGTCAAATATTTCAAACATTTCCATTCCCTGTCAAATATTTCAAACATTTCCATTCCCTGTCAAATATTTCAAACATTTCCATTCCCTGTCAAATATTTCAAACATTTCCATTCCCTGTCAAATATTTCAAACATTCCATTCCCTTTCAAATATTTCAAACATTTCCATTCCCTGTCAAATATTTCAAACATTTCCATTCCGTCAAATATTTCAAACATTTCCATTCCCTGTCAAATATTTCGAACATTTCCATTCCATGTCAAATATTTCAAACATTCCATTCCCTATCAAATATTGCAAACATTGAGTGTACATCTTATGATCCCACCTGGTGTGTGTAAATATCATATCCCCACCTAATGTGTGTAAATATCATATCCCCACCTAATGTGTGTAAATATCATATCCCCACCTAATGTGTGTAAATATCATATCCCCACCTAATGTGTGTAAATATCATATCCCCACCTAATGTGTAAATATCATATCCCCACCTTCTTCTTCGTTCTTAATTTTAGTGCTATTGAGCCATTGACTCCGATTTCAGCCTGCTTTTCTTTTTGGATTTGCTTCCATAGCCTTTGTCCAACCAAGAACAAACTACAAGGCAGCAGTTGTTTGATTTTGGAGTTGTCTCTGCTAGACGAGCGGCTGTCCCTGGCTAACGAGCCTCATCTGCCCGAGGGTTTGAACTCGAGATTTTTCAGTTAAGCAGCCATGAGCTTTACCGACTCTAGCACACTGACCCCCTATATCCCCACCTGATGCATGTAAATATTATGCCCCCACCTGATGCATGTAAATGTCCCCACCTGATGCATGTAAATGTCCCCACCTGATGCATGTAAATATTATGCCCCCACCTGATGCATGTAAATGTCCCCACCTGATGCATGTAAATGTCCCCACCTGATGCATGTAAATGTCCCCACCTGATGCATGTAAATGTCCCCACCTGATGCATGTAAATGTCCCCACCTGATGCATGTAAATGTCCCCACCTGATGCATGTAAATGTCCCCACCTGATGCATGTAAATGTCCCCACCTGATGCATGTAAATGTCCCCACCTGATGCATGTATATTTCCCCACCTGATGCATGTAAATGTCCCCACCTGATGCATGTAAATGTCCCCACCTGATGCATGTAAATGTCCCCACCTGATGCATGTAAATGTCCCCACCTGATGCATGTAAATGTCCCCACCTGATGCATGTAAATGTCCCCACCTGATGCATGTAAATGTCCCCACCTGATGCATGTAAATGTCCCCACCTGATGCATGTAAATGTCCCCACCTGATGCATGTAAATGTCCCCACCTGATGCATGTAAATGTCCCCACCTGATGCATGTAAATGTCCCCACCTGATGCATGTAAATGTCCCCACCTGATGCATGTAAATGTCCCCACCTGATGCATGTAAATGTCCCCACCTGATGCATGTAAATGTCCCCACCTGATGCATGTATATGCTCCCACAAACCTGTAGGTGATTATACTCCATAGGAACACAGGTGGGGAGACGTCCAGCGCTGACAGGTTTGTGTGTGGACCAGGACAAGCTGTGAGCAGAGCCACACGCCACTCTATTGATCTTTTTACCTGCTCAGGTCAAAATCAAAGAGTCACATATAAATGTATGAATAAAATGTGAAAGTTCCCATAACTAGAGTCTGCCTCCAGCACTAACTATCTTGTTGAATGAATACATTACTTACCTTGCAATGCAGCCACAAGTCGTGGTCTTTGGATAGCATTAGTTGTACCATCTCCAAGTTGTCCTTCATCATTGTCCCCCCATGTAAAGACCTCACCTACAACAACAGCGGCTGGTTAGTCACATTCAATACATTGCTTTGCTGGGACTGTCATGTACAACATGTGTTGGTCCAACATGTAGGACTGTCATGTACAACATGTGTTGGTCCAACATGTAGGATTGTCATGTACAACATGTGTTGGTCCAACATGTAGGACTGTCATGTACAACTGTCTGTTGGTCCAACATGTAGGACTGTCATGTACAACATGTGTTGGTCCAACATGTAGGACTGTCATGTACAACATGTGTTGGTCCAACATGTAGGACTGTCATGTACAACATGTGAGACTGTCTGTTGGTCCAACATGTAGGACTGTCATGTACAACATGTGTTGGTCCAACATGTAGGACTGTCATGTACAACATGTGTTGGTCCAACATGTAGGACTGTCATGTACAACATGTGTTGGTCCAACATGTAGGACTGTCTGTTGGTCCAACATGTAGGACTGTCATGTACAACATGTGTTGGTCCAACATGTAGGACTGTCTGTTGGTCCAACATGTAGGACTGTCATGTACAACATGTGTTGGTCCAACATGTAGGACTGTCATGTACAACATGTGTTGGTCCAACATGTAGGACTGTCTGTTGGTCCAACATGTAGGACTGTCATGTACAACATGTGTTGGTCCAACATGTAGGACTGTCATGTACAACATGTGTTGGTCCAACATGTAGGACTGTCTGTTGGTCCAACATGTAGGACTGTCATGTACAACATGTGTTGGTCCAACATGTAGGACTGTCTATTGGTCCAACATGTAGGACTGTCTGTTGGTCCAACATGTAGGACTGTCTGTTGGTCCAACATGTAGGACTGTCTGTTGGTCCAACATGTAGGACTGTCTGTTGGTCCAACATGTAGGACTGCCTGTTGGTCCAACATGTAGGACTGTCTGTTGGTCCAACATGTAGGACTGCCTGTTGGTCCAACATGTAGGACTGTCATGTACAACATGTGTTGGTCCAACATGTAGGACTGTCATGTACAACATGTGTTGGTCCAACATGTAGGACTGTCTGTTGGTCCAACATGTAGGACTGTCATGTACAACATGTGTTGGTCCAACATGTAGGACTGTCTGTTGGTCCAACATGTAGGACTGTCTGTTGGTCCAACATGTAGGACTGTCTGTTGGTCCAACATGTAGGACTGCCTGTTGGTCCAACATGTAGGACTGCCCAACAACACAAACCTGTTTCAGTGCAGGCTACACAATGGAGAGAACCACAGGCAACATCTATAACTTTTTTCCCTTGAAGGGCTGTTACTCTCCTTGGTCTTCTAACATGATCATCAGTACCATGGCCAAGCCTATGGTAGTCTCCTTTGCCCCTGTTAAGAAAAAAGCATATCATTGATTGACTTGAAATAATTTTTTAAACAATTTTCCTAAGCTGCTGGACAAGTAAGAAAAAACAACATGGAATAAAGTACATTTTACCAGCCACAGAAATCTGAGAGCCACATTTTACTTTACCATGTGTAAACAGAACCAGTCTTGGTGAGAGCCACAGAGAATTGAGAGCCACATTCCACTTTGATGACACCCAAGCCTTGCAGAGCTTCAACCTTCATTGGTACCTTACAGCCATCGCTGCCGCCTCGACCTATACAATGAAAAAAACATCAGTAGAACATATATAAACATCATTTGAACATACAAAAAACATCATAAAAACACACAGAAAACATTAGAACATCCAAAAACATTGACATAGAAAAAACATTGACATAGAAAAAACATCGACATACAAAAAACATTTTATCCAAAATTAGCACCAAACATATAATCTATACCAAGCCTTTCAATTTACACAATCCAAGCCCCAGCAACTCTACCACTATGGACCCATCAGATAAATATACTCTACAACTATGGACCCATCAGATAAATATACTCTACCACTATGGACCCATCAGATAAATATACTCTACCACTATGGACCCATCAGATAAATATACTCTACCACTATGGACCCATCAGATAAATATACTCTACCACTATGGACCCATCAGATAAATATACTCTACCACTATGGACCCATCAGATAAATATACTCTACCACTATGGACCCATCAGATAAATATACTCTACCACTATGGACCCATCAGATAAATATACTCTACCACTATGGACATCATAGCACCCATCAGATAAATATACTCTACCACTATGGACATTATAGCACCCATCAGATAAATGTACTCTACCACTATGGACCCATCAGATAAATATACTCTACCACTATGGACATTATAGCACCCATCAGATAAATATACTCTACCACTATGGACCCATCAGATAAATATACTCTACCACTATGGACATCATAGCACCCATCAGATAAATATACTCTACCACTATGGACATCATAGCACCCATCAGATAAATATACTCTACCACTATGGACATCATAGCACCCATCAGATAAATATACTCTACCACTATGGACATTATAGCACCCATCAGATAAATATACTCTACCACTATGGACCCATCAGATAAATATACTCTACCACTATGGACATTATAGCACCCATCAGATAAATATACTCTACCACTATGGACCCATCAGATAAATATACTCTACCACTATGGACATCATAGCACCCATCAGATAAATATACTCTACCACTATGGACATCATAGCACCCATCAGATAAATATACTCTACCACTATGGACATTATAGCACCCATCAGATAAATATACTCTACCACTATGGACATTATAGCACCCATCAGATAAATATACTCTACCACTATGGACCCATCAGATAAATATACTCTACCACTATGGACATTATAGCACCCATCAGATAAATATACTCTACCACTATGGACCCATCAGATAAATATACTCTACCACTATGGACCCATCAGATAAATATACTCTACCACTATGGACATCATAGCACCCATCAGATAAATATACTCTATCACTATGGACCCATCAGATAAATATACTCTACCACTATGGACATCATAGCACCCATCAGATAAATATACTCTACCACTATGGACATCATAGCACCCATCAGATAAATATACTCTACCACTATGGACATCATAGCACCCATCAGATAAATATACTCTACCACTATGGACATTATAGCACCCATCAGATAAATATACTCTACCACTATGGACCCATCAGATAAATATACTCTACCACTATGGACCCATCAGATAAATATACTCTACCACTATGGACCCATCAGATAAATATACTCTACCACTATGGACCCATCAGATAAATATACTCTACCACTATGGACATTATAGCACCCATCAGATAAATATACTCTACCACTATGGACCCATCAGATAAATATACTCTACCACTATGGACATCATAGCACCCATCAGATAAATATACTCTACCACTATGGACATTATAGCACCCATCAGATAAATATACTCTACCACTATGGACCCATCAGATAAATATACTCTACCACTATGGATATTATAGCACCCATCAGATAAATATACTCTACCACTATGGACATCATAGCACCCATCAGATAAATATACTCTACCACTATGGACATCATAGCACCCATCAGATAAATATACTCTACCACTATGGACATTATAGCACCCATCAGATAAATATACTCTACCACTATGGACATTATAGCACCCATCAGATAAATATACTCTACCACTATGGACATTATAGCACCCATCAGATAAATATACTCTACCACTATGGACCCATCAGATAAATATACTCTACCACTATGGACATTATAGCACCCATCAGATAAATATACTCTACCACTATGGACCCATCAGATAAATATACTCTACCACTATGGACCCATCAGATAAATATACTCTACCACTATGGACATTATAGCACCCATCAGATAAATATACTCTACCACTATGGACATTATAGCACCCATCAGATAAATATACTCTACCACTATGGACATCATAGCACCCATCAGATAAATATACTCTACCACTATGGACCCATCAGATAAATATACTCTACCACTATGGACATTATAGCACCCATCAGATAAATATACTCTACCACTATGGACATTATAGCACCCATCAGATAAATGTACTCTACCACTATGGACATCATAGCACCCATCAGATAAATATACTCTACCACTATGGACATTATAGCACCCATCAGATAAATATACTCTACCACTATGGACATTATAGCACCCATCAGATAAATGTACTCTACCACTATGGACATCATAGCACCCATCAGATAAATATACTCTACCACTATGGACATTATAGCACCCATCAGATAAATATACTCTACCACTATGGACATTATAGCACCCATCAGATAAATGTACTCTACCACTATGGACATCATAGCACCCATCAGATAAATATACTCTACCACTATGGACATTATAGCACCCATCAGATAAATATACTCTACCACTATGGACCCATCAGATAAATATACTCTACCACTATGGACATCATAGCACCCATCAGATAAATATACTCTACCACTATGGACCCATCAGATAAATATACTCTATCACTATGGACCCATCAGATAAATATACTCTACCACTATGGACATTATAGCACCCATCAGATAAATATACTCTACCACTATGGACCCATCAGATAAATGTACTCTACCACTATGGACATTATAGCACCCATCAGATAAATATACTCTACCACTATGGACCCATCAGATAAATATACTCTACCACTATGGACATCATAGCACCCATCAGATAAATATACTCTACCACTATGGACATTATAGCACCCATCAGATAAATATACTCTACCACTATGGACCCATCAGATAAATATACTCTACCACTATGGACCCATCAGATAAATATACTCTACCACTATGGACCCATCAGATAAATATACTCTACCACTATGGACATTATAGCACCCATCAGATAAATATACTCTACCACTATGGACATCATAGCACCCATCAGATAAATATACTCTACCACTAAGAACATCAAAAAGCAATTACTTCTCTTAATTATTATTTTAAAAAAAAAAACATAATAAAGAATGACACAGCATAAAAAGGAAATGTATTTAAAACTAATAATATAAATAAAAAAAAACAAAAATAAACATAACGCGAGAAAACATTACACATACAAAGCTTTCATACTTCATATTCTTTTGACCCACTTGCTTATAGGAAGCATTATGGCAGACATATATTGAAAAAGAGATTTACAAAACAAACTAATAGCACTCACACAAATGATGTGTTGTTGTAACTTGTTTTAATTTTTTTTAAAAACTAAGAATGTCCTGTTCTTGTATATACCATTTACAATTTTTTGGTCTCGTCATGGTTTAGACATTTTATTTCTTTTATGATAATTTTGGTACAACACAGAACTAATGTTCCATTTTATTACCAAAATGTTTTATGCACTATTTGAAGAAATTAAATTATAAAAGCAAAATTATATTTAAAAACTCTAGCCGATTGAAAAAAAAAAAAAAAATTCAATGAGTACAGAAACTACAAATAGATATAATGTGTGTCTAAAAAAATATATGTAAATATGTGTGTTTATCTTATATTGAATGAATTAAAGGAGCCACATACAACAGGAACTTACCAAGTTTTCCGTAGTCTCCATCTTATATTGAATGAATTAAAGGAGCCACATAGAGCAGGAACTTACCAAGTTTTCCATAGTCTCCATCTTATATTGAATGAATTAAAGGAGCCACATAGAGCAGGAACTTACCAAGTTTTCCATAGTCTCCATCTTATATTGAATGAATTAAAGGAGCCACATAGAGCAGGAACTTACCAAGTTTTCCATAGTCTCCATCTTATATTGAATGAATTAAAGGAGCCACATAGAGCAGGAACTTACCAAGTTTTCCATAGTCTCCATCTTATATTGAATGAATTAAAGGAGCCACATAGAGCAGGAACTTACCAAGTTTTCCATAGTCTCCATCTTATATTGAATGAATTAAAGGAGCCACATAGAGCAGGAACTTACCAAGTTTGCCATAGTCTCCATCTTATATTGAATGAATTAAAGGAGCCACATAGAGCAGGAACTTACCAAGTTTTCCATAGTCTCCATCTTATATTGAATGAATTAAAGGAGCCACATAGAGCAGGAACTTACCAAGTTTTCCATAGTCTCTATCTTATATTGAATGAATTAAAGGAGCCACATAGAGCAGGAACTTACCAAGTTTTCCATAGTCTCCATCTTATATTGAATGAATTAAAGGAGCCACATAGAGCAGGAACTTACCAAGTTTTCCATAGTCTCCATCTTATATTGAATGAATTAAAGGAGCCACATAGAGCAGGAACTTACCAAGTTTTCCATAGTCTCCATCTTATATTGAATGAATTAAAGGAGCCACATAGAGCAGGAACTTACCAAGTTTTCCATAGTCTCCATCTTATATTGAATGAATTAAAGGAGCCACATAGAGCAGGAACTTACCAAGTTTTCCATAGTCTCTATCTTATATTGAATGAATTAAAGGAGCCACATAGAGCAGGAACTTACCAAGTTTGCCATAGTCTCCATCTTATATTGAATGAATTAAAGGAGCCACATAGAGCAGGAACTTACCAAGTTTTCCATAGTCTCCATCTTATATTGAATGAATTAAAGGAGCCACATAGAGCAGGAACTTACCAAGTTTTCCATAGTCTCCATCTTATATTGAATGAATTAAAGGAGCCACATAGAGCAGGAACTTACCAAGTTTTCCATAGTCTCTATCTTATATTGAATGAATTAAAGGAGCCACATAGAGCAGGAACTTACCAAGTTTTCCATAGTCTCCATCTTATATTGAATGAATTAAAGGAGCCACATAGAGCAGGAACTTACCAAGTTTTCCATAGTCTCTATCTTATATTGAATGAATTAAAGGAGCCACATAGAGCAGGAACTTACCAAGTTTGCCATAGTCTCCATCTTATATTGAATGAATTAAAGGAGCCACATAGAGCAGGAACTTACCAAGTTTGCCATAGTCTCCATCTTATATTGAATGAATTAAAGGAGCCACATAGAGCAGGAACTTACCAAGTTTGCCATAGTCTCCATCTTATATTGAATGAATTAAAGGAGCCACATAGAGCAGGAACTTACCAAGTTTTCCATAGTCTCCATCTTATATTGAATGAATTAAAGGAGCCACATAGAGCAGGAACTTACCAAGTTTTCCATAGTCTCTATCTTATATTGAATGAATTAAAGGAGCCACATAGAGCAGGAACTTACCAAGTTTTCCATAGTCTCCATCTTATATTGAATGAATTAAAGGAGCCACATAGAGCAGGAACTTACCAAGTTTTCCATAGTCTCCATCTTATATTGAATGAATTAAAGGAGCCACATAGAGCAGGAACTTACCAAGTTTTCCATAGTCTCCATCTTATATTGAATGAATTAAAGGAGCCACATAGAGCAGGAACTTACCAAGTTTTCCATAGTCTCCATCTTATATTGAATGAATTAAAGGAGCCACATAGAGCAGGAACTTACCAAGTTTTCCATAGTCTCTATCTTATATTGAATGAATTAAAGGAGCCACATAGAGCAGGAACTTACCAAGTTTGCCATAGTCTCCATCTTATATTGAATGAATTAAAGGAGCCACATAGAGCAGGAACTTACCAAGTTTTCCATAGTCTCCATCTTATATTGAATGAATTAAAGGAGCCACATAGAGCAGGAACTTACCAAGTTTTCCATAGTCTCCATCTTATATTGAATGAATTAAAGGAGCCACATAGAGCAGGAACTTACCAAGTTTTCCATAGTCTCTATCTTATATTGAATGAATTAAAGGAGCCACATAGAGCAGGAACTTACCAAGTTTTCCATAGTCTCCATCTTATATTGAATGAATTAAAGGAGCCACATAGAGCAGGAACTTACCAAGTTTTCCATAGTCTCTATCTTATATTGAATGAATTAAAGGAGCCACATAGAGCAGGAACTTACCAAGTTTGCCATAGTCTCCATCTTATATTGAATGAATTAAAGGAGCCACATAGAGCAGGAACTTACCAAGTTTGCCATAGTCTCCATCTTATATTGAATGAATTAAAGGAGCCACATAGAGCAGGAACTTACCAAGTTTTCCATAGTCTCTATCTTATATTGAATGAATTAAAGGAGCCACATAGAGCAGGAACTTACCAAGTTTTCCGTAGTCTCCATCCCCCCAGGACCACACACTGTCATCATCAGTGATACAAAGTGTCTGGGCGTCACCACTGCCACATGCCACATCTGTCACTCTATAGCCCTTTAAAGCCTCCAGCTAGACCAAAAAATAAAACGCTTTAGGTTAGTCCCAAAACATATGACGGACCTGCTTACAAAACACATTAGATTTGATGATGTGTTTACCAGCTTTGGTCTGGATTGATCTTCAGAATCTCCATGCCCCAGCCTGCCATAGCGACCTTTGCCCCATGTGAAGAGCTCTCCAGTGTTTGTGATGCAAGCAGAGTGAGCTCCCCCAGCAGCTATGTCCACAACTTCCTTGCCTCGTAGGGACTCAATGACTCTTGGTCTGTCACAGGGACTGTACAAGTTTGATCCTTACAGTAGCTGGCAGACCTTATGCCCACCCAACACACAGGTTCTAACACACGGACACATCGCCACACAACCCAACAAACCAAAACATACTCCAAACAACCCAAAACATACTCCAAACAACCCAAAACATACTCCAAACACACAACCCAAAACATACTCCAAACACACAACTCAAAACATATTCCATCTAACTCAAAACATACTCCATACAACCCAAAACATACTCCAAACACACAACCAAAAAAATACTCCAAACACACAACCCAAAACATACTCCAAACACACAACCAAAAACATACTCCAAACACACAACCAAAAACATACTCCAAACACACAACCCAAAACATACTCCATACACACAACCCAAAACATACTCCAAACACACAACTCAAAACATAATCCACACAACCCAAAACATACTTTAAACACACAACCCAAAAAAAACTCCAAACACACAACTCAAAACATACTCCATACAACCCAAAAAATACTCCACCCCACCCCTAGAGAATAACTATTGTACATGAAAGTGGTTTAAGTGAGAAACACTGCATTGAATACAAGAGCTGACAGAGTACCAACTATTTGTACTTAGCTTTCTATAGAATACAAAAATAATCAGCAAAGTGCAGAATAAGCTTATTCCATCCTGAAAATGTATTAACCTAAACTTATCCCAAATCCCTTTTCCAAATCCTGTCAATGGCACTTATACTAACCATTGCTATCCCTATCAACCCAATAATTAGTTAGTAACAGGGGGTAATGTGTGGGGTGGGGTAATGTGTGGGGTGGGGTAATGTGTGGGGTGGGGTAATGTGTGGGGGTGGGGTAATGTGTGGGGTGGGGTAATGTGTGGGGGTGGGGTAATGTGTGGGGTGGGGTAATGTGTGGGGTGGGGTAATGTGTGGGGTGGGGTAATGTGTGGGGTGGGGTAATGTGTGGGGTGGGGTAATGTGTGGGGTGGGGTAATAGATCTGAGGTGTAATGTAGGGGAACCAGGGGAGTAAATGACAGGGGGTAATGTACTAATATATCCCCCTAAAAGTTAATACACCCCCCCCCCAAGCTAACACCACCCCCCGTCTGCCCCAACCTTGTAATTATTTACCTCCTGTTGCCATGGCCTAGTTTGCCATCCTCTCCCTCCCCCCATGAGTAGACCTCCCCTTCAGCTGAGAGAGCCAGACAATGTTTGCCTCCAGAGTTAACTGCCAGTTTTTTTATCAAGACATGTTGGATGGACTCTAGCAGTGTGGGGGTGGAGACAGAATCTGTGCCCCCCACACCAAGTCGGCCCCCTGCTCCATAGCCTGTGCCATAGACCTGTAACATATAGTACACATGGTGATGTAACATACAGGTGATGTAACATACAGGTGATGTAACATACAGGTGATGTAACATACAGTACACATTATGATGTAACATACTGTACACATGGTGATGTAACTACACATTATGATGTAACTACACATGGTGATGTAACTACACATTATGATGTAACTACACATGGTGATGTAACTACACATTATGATGTAACATACAGGTGATGTAACATACAGGTGATGTACCATACAGTACACATTATGATGTAACTACACATGGTGATGTAACCAATCTCACCTTGCCATCAGCTGTTACTGCAAACAAGGTCTGCTCTCCGCCAATGAGCTGAACTGGTCGAAGTGTGGCCAAGGCATCACAGCTAAGAGGCAGCTTCACTTTGGCTCCCTCCACCCCTCCTAGTTGGCCTCTATGGTTGTGGCCCCACACCCATATTTGGCCACTTCCTCCCCAAGATAATGTCCAGTCATCTGGCTTTCTATCAAGTCAAAATATTATTGTCAACTCATATTATAACAACTGTACAAACAATATGCACTCAAATAAAACTTTCCTTTTATTAGAAGTAATGGTGACAGCATTGGTTAATACAGCAAATGATTTCTCATGCCAAAAGCTGTTTTACTGAAACATCTTAAGCAATTCATTTTAAAACCTTGTTATAAGATTTTTATGCACATTTTATTTTGGTCATTTTTTGGTATCTAGGAATGGTAAAAAACCCAGTGAGATCAACATTTACATTTGAAAAACAGTCCCACGTAGAGCAATATTCCTTCCTTAAAATATTTGCTACACCTAAGCTTATGATATGTGGCTTAAAATATTTGCTACACCTAAGCTTATGATATGTGGAATGAAAAAATGTCCCATGTAGAGCAAAATTCCTTCCTTAAAATATTTGCTACACCTAAGCTTATGATATGTGGCTTAAAATATTTGCTACACCTAAGCTTATGATATGTGGAATGAAAAAATGTCCCATGTAGAGCAAAATTCCTTCCTTAAAATATTTGCTACACCTAAGCTTATGATATGTGGCTTAAAATATTTGCTAAACCTAAGCTTATGATATGTGAAATAAAAAACAGTCCCATGTAGAGCAATATTCCTTCCTTAAAATATTTGCTACACCTAAGCTTATGATATGTGGCTTAAAATATTTGCTAAACCTAAGCTTATGATATGTGAAATAAAAAACAGTCCCATGTAGAGCAATATTCCTTCCTTAAAATATTTGCTACACCTAAGCTTATGATATGTGAAATGAAAAAATGTCCCAACTCCTAGGTCAGGCCTCTCACATCTGGTGTCAGCTAGAGTTATTCCCCTTTTGATATACACTCAATACATTTGTACTGACTATTAAATAAAGCCAAAAGTTGTGTTGGCGGTTGGACGGGTGGTCATGATTCTTTGTCATGATCCATTTTCGCCTCACTTGGTTACTACAATAAAAGGAAAGTCATAGCACACTTTCTAGCGAAATTCAGTGAAAATTCAATTTGTTTTTAATTTTTCAAATATTTGTATAGGCCATATAAGAGAGGTCTTCTTTCTGGCGTTTTAACTTCATTCAGTTTTTACAATTGTTGCGCTGCATGCATCATCCGTGTTAGAAGGTGCACAACAGTCGCTAAATAAAGCTAGCCTTTACTATTTTAGAATTTATCCTTCTGAAAAAAAAATCAGACCTAAGTAAATGAAAAATAAGCCAATATTTTTATAATTTAAATGCTGCTATAATTACAAATCGGGTTTTACTTTTCATTTTTTTAAGTTAAAAGCCCAACAGAGCTACATTGTTTACTAATCATTATTTATCTCAATTTTAGATGTGAATCCAATTCCAGAAAGATTTGATTCGATAGATTTATTTCAGTTGGATTCCTTTATTGTTAAGGTCAGTTTGGATGTGTATGATACAAAGTTTAGATTGGGTGTTAGGGATCGTCCATAAATGACGTAACAATTCCTTTAGGAAATTTTGTGATGATCTGTCAGGAGGTGTTCATGGAGTCTCATGTTACAGTGTTATATTTTTTAATGTTAAAAGCTTAATATTGTCTTCTTCATTCTTAATTTTAGTGTTGGAAGGGATTCCCTCCAACACAATTAAGTTATGTGCCATATAGGCTGTTGACTCAGATTTCAGCCTGCTTTTCTGTTTGGATTTGCTTCCATAGCCTTTGTCCAACCAAGAACAAACTACAAGGCACCAGTTGTTTGATTTTGGAGTTGTCTCTACTAGAAGAGTTGCTGTCCACAGCTATCAAGCCTCATCAGCCCAAGGGTTTGAACTCGAGACATATCAGTTTAGCAGCCATGACCTTTACCGACTTGACCACGCTAACTGCTGTTATTTTGCATTTTTGAAAGCCGTTTTTGTAAATTGTATTACTAATTGATTAATATACTCTATACTGACCGAGCTCATTCAATATTTTAGAAGGATATTGATATTAAAAAAAATTTAATAGCATTTTTCAGGTGTGTGGTAGGTTGAGGTGTGACATCATTATGGGTGGAGGGGGTCTAGCTTTTTGTGCAATCTGTGATGTTGGGGGCGCGGGGAGGTAAAAAGTGTGTCATCATTTTTGGATGAATAAATTTTGAAATAATTAAAAGTAGACTTGGATAATCCTACTGCACCTTTAAGATGTTTAAGTTTAAATAAAAATAGGAATGTAATTTGTGTTAATTATACTGATTGATGCTTTGACAAGATAAATGAATTATTTTAGTTCATGTGCATAATAGCTATGGTAGATTGAAGTTTTTGTTGGATCAAGTAGGTCAACAAACTATTAGTAAAATATATAAACTAATTTACACCTTTAACTTATGTTTAATTTAAAATCTGTTTAGTTGATATGTTTAAGATTAGGGTCAGCTTAGACCTTCACTTAATTCAAACGGGTGTTATAGTTAAAGTAAGGTTGATAACAGACCTCTCAGTCTTGTAAGGGATGAGGTCAAATTTGTGGCCATGTGTGACGCATGGAAAGGGGCATGGGAGTAAAAACGTGTCGGTAGATTGACGTAACCAACCTGTGAATTATTCCAGTCAAATCCTACTGTGAATTTTTCCCATCAAATCCTACTCCCACAACCTGTGAATTATTCCCATCAAATCCTACTCCCACAACCTGTGAATTATTCCCATCAAATCCTACTCCCACAACCTGTGAATTATTCCCATCAAATCCTACTCCCACAACCTGTGAATTATTCCCATCAAATCCTACTGTGAATTATTCCCGTAAAATCCTACTCCCACAACCTGTGAATTATTCCCGTCAAATCCTACTGTGAATTATTCCCGTCAAATCCTACTCCCACAAGCTGTGAATTATTCCCATCAAATCCTACTCCCACAACCTGTGAATTATTCCCGTCAAATCCTACTGTGAATTATTCCCATCAAATCCTACCCCCCAACCTGTGAATTATTCCTGTCAAATCCTACTCCCACAACCTGTGAATTATTCCCATCAAATCCTACTCCCCTAACCTGTGAATTATTCCCGTCAAATCCTACTGTGAATTATTCCCAACAAATCCTACTCCCACAACCTGTGAATTATTCCCGTCAAATCCTACTCCCCTAACCTGTGAATTATTCCCATCAAATCCTACTCCCACAACCCACAATTACCTACCAATGTCAATAGCCTCTAGTACATAAAAAAATGCAGTAAGATATTACCCCAAACTTTTTTGATAAAGAGAGAAGGTAATAACTGGTACAGGAAGGGGTAAAGCTACAGGTATGGGTGAGGGATGGGAACAGAGATAGGGAAAATTAAATGGGACATAGATAGGGAAATGGATAAGTTTTAGATTGGAATGGTGATTAAAAATAGGCATAAGGATAAAGACAGGGATATGGATAGTAATATGAATATGAGGATAGGAATATGTTTCTGTTTTAATGTTTCTTGGCTTTGTGGGGGTATATGCTGCTAATATATTTTAATCTTAGTAGATTGACTTGAAGGTTGTGGCACCAGAGATGAGTTCATTAGAAATGGGATGAAACTGTGTTACTAAATTTGACCACAAACCCAGACACAAATTTGGACAGAAAGTATAGTATAGCTAGTAATAAACTAGTGCCCAGTCATGTGAGGTCTAAAAATAAACCTGTTGATCCACTGTAAGAGCTGCTCATCCTGCTCCTGCCTGAACATGTCGTGGCGCTCATGGCTGAAACTCAGGCTCAGATTGTCATTGGCAATGTCCTGGACTTTCTTCATCACCTCCTCTGTAAACTGCTGGGGTAGGGACGTTCTCTTGACCATGGAGACTGCCACCCTGGCAGCATTACAGTAGCGTCTAAACCACGCCCATTTGTGAGCTTCAGAACAGCAGGGTAATGTGTCGAGCCCAAGGTCACAAGCTAAAGCCACAAGCACCTGGGTAGGAGGATATTCATCAGTCAAGTAGAAAGGAAAATTATATATGAATAGGTGTGTGGGACACCCTGAGTGAATGTGTGGGACACCCTGAGTGGATGTGTGGGACACCCTAAGTGGATGTGTGGATACAATGAGTGAATGTGTGGGGCACCCTGAAATAATGAGATACCTTGAAGAAAGGACTATGCATCAAATGTTTTCCACTGCGTACAATAGAATCCTCATATTCATATTGTCTCTGGAGAGCTTCAGGTAAGCCTTTGACTAGCGAGGCCAAGGCTGATCCACTCATGGACTGAAAGTATAACGTCAGTCATCTAAAGAACAGCAGTCAGTCACCAAAAGTACATCAGTCAGTCATGTTGGTACATCAGTCAGTCATATTGGCACATCAGTCAGTCATGTTGGCACATCAGTCAGTCATGTTGGTACATCAGTCAGTCATGTTGGCACATCAGTCAGTCATATCAGTCAGTCATGTTTGTACACCAGTCAGTCATGTTGGTACATCAGTCAGTCATGTTGGTACATCAGTCAGTCATGTTGGCACATCAGTCAGTCATGTTGGTACATCAGTCAGTCATGTTGGTACATCAGTCAGTCATGTTGGTACATCAGTCAGTCATGTTGGTACATCAGTCAGTCATGTTGGTACATCAGTCAGTCATGTTGGTACATCAGTCAGTCATGTTGGTACATCAGTCAGTCATGTTGGTACATCAGTCAGTCATGTTGGTACATCAGTCAGTCATGTTGGCACATCAGTCAGTCATGTTGGTACATCAGTCAGTCATGTTGGTACATCAGTCAGTCATGTTGGTACATCAGTCAGTCATATTGGCACATCAGTCAGTCATGTTGGCACATCAGTCAGTCATGTTGGTACATCAGTCAGTCATGTTGGTACATCAGTCAGTCATGTTGGCACATCAGTCAGTCATGTTGGTACATCAGTCAGTCATGTTGGTACATCAGTCAGTCATGTTGGTACATCGGTCAGTCACATTGGTACATCAGTCAGTCATGTTGGTACATCAGTCAGTCATATCAGTCAGTCATGTTTGTACACCAGTCAGTCATGTTGGTACATCAGTCAGTCATGTTGGTACATCAGTCAGTCATGTTGGTCCAGCAGTCAGTCATGTTGGTACATCAGTCAGTCATGTTGGTACATCAGTCAGTCATGTTGGTACATCAGTCAGTCATGTTGGTACATCAGTCAGTCATGTTGGCACATCAGTCAGTCATGTTGGTACATCAGTCAGTCATGTTGGTACATAAGTCAGTCATGTTGGTACATCAGTCAGTCATGTTGGTACATCAGTCAGTCATGTTGGTACATCAGTCAGTCATGTTGGTACATCAGTCAGTCATGTTGGTACATCAGTCAGTCATGTTGGTACATCAGTCAGTCATGTTGGTACATCAGTCAGTCATGTTGGCACATCAGTCAGTCATGTTGGTACATCAGTCAGTCATGTTGGTACATCAATCAGTCATGTTGGTACATCAGTCAGTCATGTTGGTCCATCAGTCAGTCATGTTGGTACATCAGTCAGTCATGTTGGTCCAGTTTGTTGAAGCTAACCAGTGGAAATGGTCTGGGTATCTCCTCAGGGCTCTCTCTGGAAGGACTGGAGAGTAGAGCACTAATGTTGATCAGATGACCAAAGTTGGCTGACATCAGCTTGCGCAGTTTGTGTAAGGCCCACATCCTCTGGTTAGCCCCTAGCATTGGGATACACAAAGGGAGAGTTGATACATAGGATACCATTGGCTGCATTCATTAGTTATCAATATTAGCCTTTGTCATCAAATCATATTTAAAATATTTGACTGCCATAAACTGGTACCCCCACTAAACTGGTGCCCTTGCTACACGAGTGCCCCCACTAAACTGGTGCCCCACTAAACTGATGCCCTTACCTAGGCAGCTAAGCTGTGCACAAGCTGCCAGCGCAGCAGCTAGGCGTGGCACAATATTGCGATCTAGAGAGACCTCCAGCTTGAAGTCAAGCAGGCAAGTGACTAGGTCAATAGAGGGGCGAGACAAAATGGTGCGGTCAGACAGGGTGTCCAGTGGAGCAGCTGCTGGCATGATGGGATAGACAGTGAAGTACCAGCCCCAGCCATTGACTGAACCATCACTGGTAAACTTCCAACGCAGTTCGTCTCCAGGTATGCGCAGTTCCTGGAACCAATCAGACCATTCTCTACCTGCAGATTAATATTTGTTATTATTTAATAAGTAAAAATAGATCAACAACTCACATTGTGATAGATGAACACTGACAATGTGATAGATCACCACTCACACTGTGATAAATCACCACTCACACTGTGATAGATCACCACTCACACTGTGATAGATCACCACTGACAATGTGATAGATCACCACTGACAATGTGATAGATGAACACTGACAATGTGATAGATGACCACTGACAATGTGATAGATCACCACTGACAATGTGATAGATGAACACTGACAATGTGATAGATGAACACTGACAATGTGATAGATCACCACTGACAATGTGAGAGATGACCACTGACAATGTGATAGATACTGATGAGATAACTTGCCAGATCTAACAGCAACTGTTCTTCCAGAAGCATCCATGATTGTAAGTGGGTCATGCCTTCTCTCTGTAGAGCAATGACGATCAAACTCTACTCTTAAAGCTTCTGCCCCTGAAACACGTATTGTCAGAGTTTTATTTTAACAAGTCATAAAGCATGTCATAGTGCCATGTTTTAGATAAAACCATGACAGATGATTTATGTAAACATGTATTATTATCAGTACCAAGCTTAGACCTAGAAGTTGTTCATAATTATTAGCTTAGACCAGTGGTTCTCAACCTTGTACTGAACCTCAACAGTTCCATATGTGCATTTACAAAACTCTTCTGAATTCAAATTTGATTTTCACACAAAAACAAAATGATGAATTTTTACTGCAAATCAGTTGAAACAGTTGCCTTTCAGACACCTGTTGAGAAATATGTCTAGGCAAGTGCCACAAACTTTTCTTTGATTTAATGTCCAGCATCCTCAAAAACGGATTGCTTGCAAAGATGTAATGTTGACACAAACTGCGTGAAATTCTCCAGAGGTTTCTAAGCAATAACTGGGTAAGTAACCATTTGTTGACACCAAAACTTTAAGAGCGTTGTAGTTGTGAAGATTTCTGAACCTGGCTCTGCTGTTGATTTTATTGAGGTTTTCATCATTGATGTCTGAACCTGGCTCTGCTGTTAATTTTATTGAGGTTTTCATCATTGATGTCTGTTATCTCAACACTAAACCTGAAAGTTTGTCTCTCATGCTGAGTGTAAGGCTGCCTCTCTCATGCTGGGTGTAAGGCTGCCTCTCTCATGCTGCCTCTCCCATGCTGGGTGTAAGGCTGCTTCTCTCATGCTGGGTGTAAGGCTGCCTCTCTCATGCTGCCTCTCCCATGCTGGGTGTAAGGCTGCTTCTCTCATGCTGGGTGTAAGGCTGCCTCTCTCATGCTGCCTCTCCCATGCTGGGTATGACTCTTTTGTAGGGAATTAGTTGCACACATACAGAAATGTCTCCGTTTGCTGATACATCTTCAATCCAACTCCCACAACTCATCTAGCAATCGTCTAGTTTGTTAAGTTATTGTTCTCTATTTCCATAACAACATCTTCTTTTCTTCCACTTGGATGATGCGCCACCCTGCACCTGTTGATTGAGATTGTTGAGAATTGCTAACATATCAGCCATGTAGTTGAGAATTGCTAACATATCAGCCATGTAGTTGAGAATTGCTAACATATCAGCCATGTAGTTGAGAATTGCTAACATATCAGCCATGTAGTTGAGAATTGCTAACATATCAGCCATGTAGTTGAGAATTGCTAACATATCAGCCATGTAGTTGAGAATTGCTAACATATCAGCCATGTAGTTGAGAATTGCTAACATATCAGCCATGTAGTTGAGAATTGCTAACATATCAGCCATGTACTCTAAAATGAGAATAAACTCAGAAATTATCAAGCAATCTGCATGGCAATGTTGGTGCACTTATCCCTGGTGTAACAATGCAGAATACAATGCATAAAAATGATGTGGTGCATTGGCTTTCACTCGCACACCAAAACCAGCATGACTCCGTCTGAAGAATCTGTAGAAATCCTATCCAACATTAGATCCTTGTCTTACAAGGAGTCATCCACAAGTTTCTCCAAATCCACTGCCTTAGTGGCTGATGGAAGAACAAAATAGAAATCTTCCTTGATCGTCTTGTCTTGGAGCATGAATACCTGGCTTAGGTTGGAAGCATCTCATAGAATTGAAGGCTGAAATGAGCTGGGCTTGAGCCAAGATGTCTATGCTCACATCCTATGAACTGGGTGTTTGTGGTAACTGACTTCAGTTTTTGTTTACAGCATGGTTTTCACCATCTTCACCACAGCTGGTTTTTTCAGTGTTTCACCAACTACAGAGTCATGATATAGAAATAAAAGTCAGTGTACAAAGTTGTCTTCATTCAACCCATCATTGTCACAGCACTTAGTGTACAAAGTTGTGTTCATTCAACCCATCATTGTCACAGCACTTAGTGTACAAAGTTGTGTTCATTCAACCCATCATTGTCACAGCACTTAGTCAGTGTACAAAGTTGTGTTCATTCAACCCATCATTGTCACAGCACTTAGTGTACAAAGTTGTGTTCATTCAACCCATCATTGTCACAGCACTTAGTCAGTGTACAAAGTTGTGTTCATTCAACCCATCATTGTCACAGCACTTAGTCAGTGTACAAAGTTGTCTTCATTCAACCCATCATTGTCACAGCACTTAGTGTACAAAGTTGTGTTCATTCAACCCATCATTGTCACAGCACTTAGTCAGTGTACAAAGTTGTGTTCATTCAACCCATCATTGTCACAGCACTTAGTCAGTGTACAAAGTTGTGTTCATTCAACCCATCATTGTCACAGCACTTAGTCAGTGTACAAAGTTGTGTTCATTCAACCCATCATTGTCACAGCACTTAGTCAGTGTACAAAGTTGTGTTCATTCAACCCATCATTGTCACAGCACTTAGTCAGTGTACAAAGTTGTCTTCATTCAATCCATCATTGTCACAGCACTTAGTGTACAAAGTTGTGTTCATTCAACCCATCATTGTCACAGCACTTAGTGTACAAAGTTGTGTTCATTCAACCCATCATTGTCACAGCACTTAGTCAGTGTACAAAGTTGTGTTCATTCAACCCATCATTGTCACAGCACTTAGTGTACAAAGTTGTGTTCATTCAACCCATCATTGTCACAGCACTTAGTCAGTGTACAAAGTTGTGTTCATTCAACCCATCATTGTCACAGCACTTAGTGTACATGACCAATGCAGGAATGTATTGTTGGCATTGACACCATTCACAATGTATGTATTTTGTGTTTTTTTATGATTTAGAAAAAAACTATATGGTACGTTATCTCACTCTGCACACTATAATACTATTTCGTGCTCTTGCGCTTGCATATTGGAACTGTCAGTGGCAATGCCAGTTAGTTCTACTGTCCTTACTGACAAAATCCAATCACAACTCATATGTCTCGTGTGTGTCGTGTGTGTCGTGACCTCTACTCAACTCCAGAGTTGGATTGAACCACTAGCTTAGAACAAAATGATGAAAATGACAAAAATTTATGCTTAGCAATATTTAATAATGAAAGTTGAAAAAGAAAATCCCTCACATATAGGTATGGATGTAAAATTTGCTATGTTGTTTATATGGCATTGGGGACGGAGTGGCCTAGCAGTAGAGAACTGGACCCGTAAGTCTCAAGTTTGAATTGGGGTTCAAGTCAGTTGACAGTCCCTGAGTCCACCCAGCTCTGATGGGTACCTCACTCACGTTAGGGAAAGTTAAGGTGGCTGGGCATAGTGTTGACCACACTATCCCTTCATATGCTAAGGTCACAGAAACAAGTGAACTCTACTTCACTTGCCTCATAGGCCGTCAGGTTTGAAAGGGAACTTGACTTTTACTTGACATGATATGGGATGTACCTGGGATTCTGACAACGCCTGTTTGGCTGGAATCATCTGTGTATGGATGCTGACTTTCCTGCACTACAGGTTTGGCTGCTGACCTGCCTGTTTCACTGTCTGTTGCCACATCCTCCAGTTCTGTCACACACAGCTCCAGCAGCATCTCTGTTACCTTAATAAACACAACAGTGGGTGGGATGTGACCGGTGGGTGGGATGTGACCGGTGGGTGGGATGTGACCGGTGGGTGGGATGTGACCAGTGGGTGGGATGTGACCGGTGGGTGGGATGTGACCGGTGGGTGGGATGTGACCGGTGGGTGGGATGTGACCGGTGGGTGGGATGTGACCGGTGGGTGGGATGTGACCGGTGGGTGGGATGTGACCGGTGGGTGGGATGTGACCAGTGGGTGGGATGTGACCGGTGGGTGGGATGTGACCGGTGGGTGGGATGTGACCGGTGGGTGGGATGTGACCGGTGGGTGGGATGTGACCGGTGGGTGGGATGGGATGTGACCAGTGGGTGGGATGTGATGTGACCAGTGGGTGGGATGTGACCGGTGGGTGGGATGTGACTGGTGGGTGGGATGTGACTGGTGGGTGGGATGTGATGTGACCAGTGGGTGGGATGTGATGTGACCAGTGGGTGGGATGTGATGTGACCAGTGGGTGGGATGTGATGTGACCAGTGGGTGGGATGTGATGTGACCAGTGGGTGGGATGTTATGTGATCAGTGGATGTGATGTGACCAGTGGGTGGGATGTTATGTGACCAGTGGGTGGGATGGGATGTGACCAGTGGGTGGGATGTTATGTGACCAGTGGGTGGGATGGGATGGGACCAGTGGGTGGGATGTGACCAGTGGGTGGGATGTGACCAGTGGGTGTGATGTGATGTGACCAGCGGGTGGGATGTGATGTGACCAGTGGGTGGGATGGGATGTGACCAGTGGGTGGGATGTGACCAGTGGGTGGGATGTGACCGGTGGGTGGGATGTGATGTGACCAGTGTGATGTGATGTGAACAGTGGGTGGGATGTGATGTGACCAGTGGGTGGGATGTGACCAGTGGGTGTGATGTGATTTGACCAGTGGGTGGGATGTGATGTGACCAGTGGGTGTGATGTGATTTGACCAGTGGGTGGGATGTGATGTGACCAGTGGGTGGGATGTGATGTGACCAGTGGGTGGGATGGGATGTGACCAGTGGGTGGGATGTGATGTGACCAGTGTGATGTGATGTGACCAGTGGGTGGGATGTGATGTGACCAGTGGGTGGGATGTGATGTGACCAGTGGGTGGGATGTGATGTGACCAGTGGGTGGGATGTGATGTGACCAGTGGGTGGGATGTGACCAGTGGGTGTGATGTGATTTGACCAGTGGGTGGGATGTGATGTGACCAGTGGGTGGGATGTGATGTGACCAGTGGGTGGGATGGGATGTGACCAGTGGGTGGGATGTGATGTGACCAGTGTGATGTGATGTGACCAGTAGGTGGGATGTGATGTGACCAGTGGGTGGAATGTGACCAGTGGGTGGGATGTGACCAGTGGGTGTGATGTGACCAGTGGGTGGGATGTGATGTGACCAGTGGGTGGGATGTGAAGTGACCAGTGGGTGGGATGTGATGTGACCAGTGGGTGGGATGTGATGTGACCAGTGGGTGGGATGTGATGTGACCAGTGGGTGTGATGTTATGTGACCAGTGGGATGTGATGTGACCAGTGGGTGTGATGTGATTTGACCAGTGGGTGGGATGTGATGTGACCAGTGGGTGGGATGTGATGTGACCAGTGGGTGGGATGTGACCAGTGGGTGGGATGTTATGTGACCAGTGGGTGTGATGGGATGAGACCAGTGGGTGGGATGTGATGTGACCAGTGGGTGGGATGTGATGTGACCAGTGGGTGGGATGTGAAGTGACCAGTGGGTGGGATGTGATGTGACCAGTGGGTGGGATGTGATGTGACCAGTGGGTGGGATGGGATGTGACCAGTGGGTGGGATGTGACCAGTGGGTGGGATGTGACCGGTGGGTGGGATGTGATGTGACCAGTGTGATGTGATGTGACCAGTGGGTGGGATGTGATGTGACCAGTGGGTGGGATGTGACCAGTGGGTGTGATGTGATTTGACCAGTGGGTGGGATGTGATGTGACCAGTGGGTGTGATGGGATGTGACCAGTGGGTGGGATGTGATGTGACCAGTGGGTGGGATGTGATGTGACCAGTGGGTGTGATGTGATGTGTCCAGTGGGTGGGATGTGATGTGACCAGTGGGTGGGATGTGACCAGTGGGTGGGATGTGATGTGACCAGTGGGTGGGTGGGATGTGACCAGTGGGTGGGATGTGACCAGTGGGTGGGATGTGATGTGACCAGTGGGTGGGTGGGATGTGACCAGTGGGTGGGATGTGACCAGTGGGTGGGATGGGATGTGACCAGTGGGTGGGATGGGATGTGACCAGTGGGTGGGATGTGATGTGACCAGTGTGATGTGATGTGACCAGTAGGTGGGATGTGATGTGACCAGTGGGTGGGATGTGACCAGTGGGTGGGATGTGATGTGACCAGTGGGTGGGATGTGATGTGACCAGTGGGTGGGATGGGATGTGACCAGTGGGTGGGATGTGATGTGACCAGTGTGATGTGATGTGACCAGTAGGTGGGATGTGATGTGACCAGTGGGTGGGATGTGACCAGTGGGTGGGATGTGATGTGACCAGTGGGTGGGATGTGATGTGACCATTGGGTGGGATGTGACCAGTGGGTGGGATGTGATGTGACCAGTGGGTGGGATGTGACCGGTGGGTGGGATGTGATGTGACCAGAGGGTGGGATGTGACCAGTGGGTGGGATGTGACCAGTGGGTGAGATGTGACCAGTGGGTGAGATGTGACCAGTGGGTGAGATGTGACCAGTGGGTGGGATGTGATGTGACCAGAGGGTGGGATGTGACCAGTGGGTGGGATGTGACCAGTGGGTGGGATGTGACCAGTGGGTGAGATGTGACCAGTGGGTGAGATGTGACCAGTGGGTGAGATGTGACCAGTGGGTGGGATGTGATGTGACCAGAGGGTGGGATGTGACCAGTGGGTGGGATGTGATGTGACCAGTGGGTGGGATGTGACCAGTGGGTGGGATGTGATGTGACCAGTGGGTGGGATGTGAAAACATTTCTTACCTGTGAGGAAGCCTTGCCTAGAGCAGTAAGAACATCAGACAAAGTTTTTTTGCCACCAGCAACTCGTCTTGCTACAGATAGTTTTAACAGATCCACCAAAATCCGAGCTTCGTCAACTGAAAGTTTGTAGGTGAACTCATCCAGACCAGGTGGATAAGTGTGTCCAGCTCCAGACACTGCTGTCATATCATCAGCTGACTGCAGGGTTTCAGCAACAATGGAGGGGGAGACTTTGGCCGCCAAACTCTGCATACTGGGGAATGGTAAGTCTTCTTGGGTGCTCTGTAAGGATAAGGTTAGAGTGGTCAGTTTAGGTTAGAGTGGTCAGTTTAGGTTAGAGTGGTCAGTTTAGGTTAGAGTGGTCAGTTTAGGTTAGAGTGGTCAGCTTAGGTTAGAGTGGTCAGTTTAGGTTAGAGTGGTCAGTTTAGATTAGAGTGGTCAGTTTAGGTTAGCACAATGAAACACATGTAGCGACATGACACACATGTAGCACAATGACACACATGTAGCCACATGACACACATGTAGCACAATGACACACATGTAGCCACATGACACACATGTAGCACAATGACACACATGTAGCCACATGACACACATATAGCACTATGACACACATGTATCACATTGACACACATGTATCACAATGACACACATGTATCACAATGACACACATGTAGTACAATGACACACATGTAGCACTATGACACACATGTAGCCACATGACACATATGTATCACAATGACACACATGTATCACAATGACACACATGTTTTACAATGACACACATGTAGCGACATGACACACATGTTTTACAATGACACACATGTATCACAATGACACACATGTTTTACAATGACACACATGTAGCACAATGACACACATGTAGCACAATGACACACATGTAGCACAATGACACACATGTAGCACAATGACACACATGTAGCACAATGACACACATGTAGCCACATGACACATATGTATCACAATGACACACATGTAGCGACATGACACACATGTAGCACAATGACACACATGTTTTACAATGACACATATGTATCACAATGACACACATGTAGCCACATGACACACATGTAGCCACATGACACACATGTAGCGACATGACACACAAGTAGCACAATGACACACATGTTTTACAATGACACACATGTAGCACAATGACACACATGTATCACAATGACACACATGTAGTACAATGACACACATGTAGCACTATGACACACATGTAGCCACATGACACACATGTAGCACAATGACACACATGTAGCACAATGACACACATGTAGCGACATGACACACATGTTTTACAATGACACACATGTATCACAATGACACACATGTATCACAATGACACACATGTTTTACAATGACACACATGTAGCGACATGACACACATGTTTTACAATGACACACATGTATCACAATGACACACATGTTTTACAATGACACACATGTAGCACAATGACACACATGTAGCACAATGACACACATGTATCACAATGACACACATGTAGCCACATGACACATATGTATCACAATGACACACATGTAGCGACATGACACACATGTAGCACAATGACACACATGTTTTACAATGACACACATGTAGCACAATGACACACATGTATCACAATGACACACATGTAGCCACATGACACATATGTAGCACAATGACACACATGTAGTGACATGACACACATGTATCACAATGACACACATGTTTTACAATGACACACATGTATCACAATGACACACATGTATCACAATGACACACATGTAGCCACATGACACACATGTAGCCACATGACACACATGTAGCGACATGACACACAAGTAGCACAATGACACACATGTAGCACAATGACACACATGTAGCAACATGACACACATGTATCACAATGACACACATGTAGCACAATGACACACATGTATCACAATGACACACATGTAGCACAATGACACACATGTAGCCACATGACACACATGTAGCGACATGACACACAAGTAGCACTATGACACACATGTATCACAATGACACACATGTAGCGACATGACATACATGTATCACAATGACACACATGTAGCACAATGACACACATGTAGCCACATGACACACATGTAGTGACATGACACACAAGTAGCACTATGACACACATGTATCACAATGACACACATGTAGCGACATGACATACATGTATCACAATGACACACATGTATCACAATGACACACATGTATCACAATGACACACATGTAGCACAATGACACACATGTAGCACTATGACACACATGTAGCACTATGTAGAAGAGATCTCACCCCGTCAGCATGTTCACCAATAGAAGCTGTCATGTCACCTGCACCCAGCTCTGTGACAGACAGGACAGCACTGGTGTCTGGTGACTGGGTGTATGAGATGGACTGTGCCATGGACGTCTCCCCATTTACAGGCACGTTTTCTTTGCCCAGAGCCTTTACTATGGCATCTCTGGAAATAAACAAACTACTTTGGCATCTCTGGAAATAAACAAACTACTATGGCATCTCTGGAAATAAACAAACTACTTTGGCATCTCTGGAAATAAACAAACTACTATGGCATCTCTGGAAATAAACAAACTACTTTGGCATCTCTGGAAATAAACAAACTACTTTGGCATCTCTGGAAATAAACAAACTACTATGGCATCTCTGGAAATAAACAAACTACTTTGGCATCTCTGGAAATAAACAAACTACTATGGCATCTCTGGAAATAAACAAACTACTTTGGCATCTCTGGAAATAAACAAACTACTATGGCATCTCTGGAAATAAACAAACTACTATGGCATCTCTGGAAATAAACAAACTACTTTGGCATCTCTGGAAATAAACAAACTACTTTGGCATCTCTGGAAATAAACAAATTACTATGGCATCTCTGGAAATAAACAAACTACTTTGGCATCTCTGGAAATAAACAAACTACTTTGGCATCTCTGGAAATAAACAAACTACTATGGCATCTCTGGAAATAAACAAACTACTATGGCATCTCTGGAAATAAACAAACTACTTTGGCATCTCTGGAAATAAACAAACTACTTTGGCATCTCTGGAAATAAACAAATTACTATGGCATCTCTGGAAATAAACAAACTACTATGGCATCTCTGGAAATAAACAAACTACTTTGGCATCTCTGGAAATAAACAAACTACTTTGGCATCTCTGGAAATAAACAAATTACTATGGCATCTCTGGAAATAAACAAACTACTTTGGCATCTCTGGAAATAAACAAACTACTTTGGCATCTCTGGAAATAAACAAACTACTATGGCATCTCTGGAAATAAACAAACTACTTTGGCATCTCTGGAAATAAACAAACTACTTTGGCATCTCTGGAAATAAACAAACTACTATGGCATCTCTGGAAATAAACAAACTACTATGGCATCTCTGGAAATAAACAAACTACTTTAGCATCTCTGGAAATAAACAAACTACTTTCGCATCTCTGGAAATAAACAAACTACTTTCGTATCTCTGGAAATAAACAAACTACTTTGGCATCTCTGGAAATAAACAAACTACTATGGCATCTCATGACAGACCACTATGGCATCTCATGACAGACCACTATGGCATCTCATGACAGACCACTATGAAAGACCAGACATACAACTGCTGACCTGACATATTTGATCTGCAAGGCATTAAGGACATGGTTCAATGCACGTTGTTTTTCCAGGGTTGAGTCCATATAAAGTATAATCTTGGATAAGGATGGTCGGCTGCTTTTATCTCGGTTACTTAAATCTTTGGGAGTAATATTGACAGTTTCATCCTTCTCATCAGAGAGACCTAAAGGTGGAAGGTGGGTTAAACAGTGGATTAGGGCATATAGGTGGATGAGATGACACTAACCTAAGGCAGTGGGTTAAGGTTAGGCCAGATAGGTGGATGTGATGACACTAACCTAAGACAGTGGGTTAGGGTTAGGCTAGATAGGTGGATGAGATGACACTAACCTAAGACAGTGGGTTAGGGTTAGGCCAGATAGGTGGATGAGATGACACTAACCTAAGACAGTGGGTTAGGGTTAGGCCAGATAGGTGGATGAGATGACACTAACCTAAGACAGTGGGTTAGGGTTAGGCCAGATAGGTGGATGAGATGACACTAACCTAAGACAGTGGGTTAGGGTTAGGCCAGATAGGTGGATGAGATGACACTAACCTAAGACAGTGGGTTAGTCCAGATAGGTGGATGAGATGACACTAACCTAAGACAGTGGGTTAGGCCAGATAGGTGGATGAGATGACACTAACCTAAGACAGTGGGTTAGGGTTAGGCCAGATAGGTGGATGAGATGACACTAACCTAAGACAGTGGGTTAGGGTTAGGCCAGATAGGTGGATGAGATGACACTAACCTAAGACAGTGGGTTAGGGTTAGGCCAGATAGGTGGATGAGATGACACTAACCTAAGACAGTGGGTTAGGGTTAGGCCAGATAGGTGGATGAGATGACACTAACCTAAGACAGTGGGTTAGGGTTAGGCCAGATAGGTGGATGAGATGACACTAACCTAAGGCAGTGGGTTAGGGTTAGTCCAGATAGGTGGATGAGATGACACTAACCTAAGACAGTGGGTTAGTCCAGATAGGTGGATGAGATGACACTAACCTAAGACAGTGGGTTAGGCCAGATAGGTGGATGAGATGACACTAACCTAAGACAGTGGGTTAGGCCAGATAGGTGGATGAGATGACACTAACCTAAGACAGTGGCTCCCAATGGGTCTTTAGAAGCAGAGAAGAGCACTGGCTCATGTGATGTGGGCATTGAGTATCCAGTGACAGCCCAGGCTACACTATGAGAAGAGCCACAAGCCACTCGTGTTATCTTGTAGCCTTCTGTCCCCAGCACTAGTGCTGCCTTTCTGTTGACTGTTGTTGTCCCATTGCCTTGTTGGCCATGGTCATTGTCACCCCAAGCCCAGACCTAATGGAGACAGACAGTAAGTATACACCAGACCCAATAGAGACAGACTCACCTGACGCAGCTATTAAAGACCTGGCACCTGGCCAGCTAACAAAGACTCACCTGGCCAGCTATCAAAGACTCACCTGGCACCTGGCCAGCTAACAAAGACTCACCTGGCACCTAGCCAGCTAACAAAGACTCACCTGGCCAGCTAACAAAGACTCACCTGGCCAGCTAACAAAGACTCACCTGGCCAGCTATCAAAGACTCACCTGGCACCTGGCCAGCTAACAAAGACTCACCTGGCACCAAGCCAGCTAACAAAGACTCACCTGGCCAGCTAACAAAGACTCACCTGGCCAGCTAACAAAGACTCACCTGGCCAGCTAACAAAGACTCACCTGGCCAGCTAACAAAGACTCACCTGGCACCTGGCCAGCTAACAAAGACTCACCTGGCACCTGGCCAGCTAACAAAGACTCACCTGGCACCTAGCCAGCTAACAAAGACTCACCTGGCCAGCTAACAAAGACTCACCTGGCCAGTATCAGTAACAGCTAAACAATGTAGAGCACCAACAGAGACATGGATAATTTTCTTCCCTTTAAGGCTCTCCACCAGTTGAGGTTTGCGCACATGAGCATCTGTTCCATGGCCTAGTCGAAAGTAATCTCCTTTACCCCTGAAACAAGAATAAACTGTTAACTGCACCTCGAGTCTTACTTGTATACAGCGAGTCCCTCTAGCATTGCCTGCCCATGCCCTTCTAGATTTGCCTGCCCATGCCCCTCTGCCCATGCCCCTCTAGTGTTGCCTGCCCATGCCCCTCTAGTGTTGCCTGCCCATGCCCCTCTAGTGTTGCCTGACAATGCCCCTCTAGTGTTGCCTGCCCATGCCCCTCTAGTGTTGCCTGCCCATGCCCCTCTAGTATTGCCTGACAATGCCCCTCTAGTGTTGCCTGCCCATGCCCCTCTGCCCATGCCCCTCTAGTGTTGCCTGCCCATGCCCCTCTAGTGTTGCCTGACATTGCCCCTCTAGTATTGCCTGACAATGCCCCTCTAGTGTTGCCTGACATTGCCCCTCTAGTATTGCCTGACAATGCCCCTCTAGTGTTGCCTGCCCATGCCCCTCTGCCCATGCCCCTCTAGTGTTGCCTGCCCATGTCCCTCTAGTGTTGCCTGCCCATGCCCCTCTGCCCATGCCCCTCTAGTGTTGCCTGCCCATGCCCCTCTAGTGTTGCCTGCCCATGCCCCTCTGCCCATGCCCCTCTAGTGTTGCCTGCCCATGTCCCTCTAGTGTTGCCTGCCCATGCCCCTCTAGTGTTGCCTGCCCATGCCCCTCTAGTATTGCCTGCCCATGCCCCTCTAGTGTTGCCTGCCCATGCCCCTCTGCCCATGCCCCTCTAGTGTTGCCTGCCCATGCCCCTGTAGTGTTGCCTGCCCATGCCCCTGTAGTGTTGCCTGCCCATGCCCCTCTAGTGTTGCCTGCCCATGCCCCTCTAGTGTTGCCTGCCCATGCCCCTCTGCCCATGCCCCTCTAGTGTTGCCTGCCCATGCCCCTCTGCCCATGCCCCTCTAGTGTTGCCTGCCCATGCCCCTCTAGTGTTGCCTGCCCATGCCCCTCTGCCCATGCCCCTCTAGTGTTGCCTGCCCATGCCCCTCTAGTGTTGCCTGCCCATGCCCCTCTGCCCATGCCCCTCTAGTGTTGCCTGTACATGCCCCTCTAGTGTTGCCTGCCCATGCCCCTCTAGTGTTGCCTGCCCATGCCCCTCTAGTGTTGCCTGCCCATGCCCCTCTGCCCATGCCCCTCTAGTGTTGCCTGTACATGCCCCTCTAGTGTTGCCTGCCCATGCCCCTCTAGTGTTGCCTGCCCATGCCCCTCTAGTGTTGCCTGCCCATGCCCCTGTAGTGTTGCCTGCCCATGCCCCTCTAGTGTTGCCTGCCCATGCCCCTCTAGTGTTGCCTGCCCATGCCCCTGTAGTGTTGCCTGCCCATGCCCTGTAGTGTTGCCTGCCCATGCCCCTCTAGTGTTGCCTGCCCATGCCCCTCTAGTGTTGCCTGCCCATGCCCCTCTGCCCATGCCCCTCTAGTGTTGCCTGCCCATGCCCCTCTAGTGTTGCCTGCCCATGCCCCTCTAGTGTTGCCTGCCCATGCCCCTCTGCCCATGCCCCTCTAGTGTTGCCTGCCCATGCCCCTCTAGTGTTGCCTGCCCATGCCCCTCTAGTATTGCCTGACAATGCCCCTCTAGTGTTGCCTGCCCATGCCCCTCTGCCCATGCCCCTCTAGTGTTGCCTGCCCATGTCCCTCTAGTGTTGCCTGCCCATGCCCCTCTGCCCATGCCCCTCTAGTGTTGCCTGCCCATGCCCCTCTAGTGTTGCCTGCCCATGCCCCTCTGCCCATGCCCCTCTAGTGTTGCCTGCCCATGTCCCTCTAGTGTTGCCTGCCCATGCCCCTCTAGTGTTGCCTGCCCATGCCCCTCTAGTATTGCCTGCCCATGCCCCTCTAGTGTTGCCTGCCCATGCCCCTCTGCCCATGCCCCTCTAGTGTTGCCTGCCCATGCCCCTGTAGTGTTGCCTGCCCATGCCCCTGTAGTGTTGCCTGCCCATGCCCCTCTAGTGTTGCCTGCCCATGCCCCTCTAGTGTTGCCTGCCCATGCCCCTCTGCCCATGCCCCTCTAGTGTTGCCTGCCCATGCCCCTCTGCCCATGCCCCTCTAGTGTTGCCTGCCCATGCCCCTCTAGTGTTGCCTGCCCATGCCCCTCTGCCCATGCCCCTCTAGTGTTGCCTGCCCATGCCCCTCTAGTGTTGCCTGCCCATGCCCCTCTGCCCATGCCCCTCTAGTGTTGCCTGTACATGCCCCTCTAGTGTTGCCTGCCCATGCCCCTCTAGTGTTGCCTGCCCATGCCCCTCTAGTGTTGCCTGCCCATGCCCCTCTGCCCATGCCCCTCTAGTGTTGCCTGTACATGCCCCTCTAGTGTTGCCTGCCCATGCCCCTCTAGTGTTGCCTGCCCATGCCCCTCTAGTGTTGCCTGCCCATGCCCCTGTAGTGTTGCCTGCCCATGCCCCTCTAGTGTTGCCTGCCCATGCCCCTCTAGTGTTGCCTGCCCATGCCCCTCTAGTGTTGCCTGCCCATGCCCCTGTAGTGTTGCCTGCCCATGCCCCTCTAGTGTTGCCTGCCCATGCCCCTCTAGTGTTGCCTGCCCATGCCCCTCTGCCCATGCCCCTCTAGTGTTGCCTGCCCATGCCCCTCTAGTGTTGCCTGCCCATGCCCCTCTAGTGTTGCCTGCCCATGCCCCTCTAGTGTTGCCTGCCCATGTCCCTCTAGTGTTGCCTGCCCATGCCCCTCTAGTGTTGCCTGCCCATGCCCCTCTAGTGTTGCCTGCCCATGCCCCTCTAGTGTTGCCTGCCCATGCCCCTCTAGTGTTGCCTGCCCATGCCCCTCTGCCCATGCCCCTCTAGTGTTGCCTGCCCATGCCCCTCTAGTGTTGCCTGCCCATGCCCCTCTGCCCATGCCCCTCTAGTGTTGCCTGCCCATGCCCCTCTAGTGTTGCCTGCCCATGCCCCTCTAGTGTTGCCTGCCCATGCCCCTCTGCCCATGCCCCTCTAGTGTTGCCTGCCCATGTCCCTCTAGTGTTGCCTGCCCATGCCCCTCTAGTGTTGCCTGCCCATGCCCCTCTGCCCATGCCCCTCTAGTGTTGCCTGCCCATGCCCCTCTAGTGTTGCCTGCCCATGCCCCTCTAGTGTTGCCTGCCCATGCCCCTCTGCCCATGCCCCTCTAGTGTTGCCTGCCCATGTCCCTCTAGTGTTGCCTGCCCATGCCCCTCTAGTGTTGCCTGCCCATGCCCCTCTGCCCATGTCCCTCTAGTGTTGCCTGCCCATGCCCCTCTAGTGTTGCCTGCCCATGCCCCTCTAGTGTTGCCTGCCCATGCCCCTCTAGTATTGCCTGCCCATGCCCCTCTAGTGTTGCCTGCCCATGCCCCTCTGCCCATGCCCCTCTAGTGTTGCCTGCCCATGCCCCTCTAGTGTTGCCTGCCCATGCCCCTCTAGTGTTGCCTGCCCATGCCCCTGTAGTGTTGCCTGCCCATGCCCCTCTAGTGTTGCCTGACATTGCCCCTCTGCCCATGCCCCTGTAGTATTGCGTGACAATGCCCCTCTAGTGTTGCCTGCCCATGCCCCTCTGCCCATGCCCCTCTAGTGTTGCCTGCCCATGCCCCTCTGCCCATGCCCGTGTTGCCTGCCCATGCCCCTCTAGTGTTGCCTGCCCATGCCCCTCTGCCCATGCCCCTCAAGTGTTGCCTGCCCATGCCCCTCTAGTGTTGCCTGCCCATGCCCCTCTGCCCATGCCCCTCTAGTGTTGCCTGTACATGCCCCTCTAGTGTTGCCTGCCCATGCCCCTCTAGTGTTGCCTGCCCATGCCCCTCTAGTGTTGCCTGCCCATGCCCCTCTGCCCATGCCCCTCTAGTGTTGCCTGCCCATGCCCCTCTAGTGTTGCCTGCCCATGCCCCTCTAGTGTTGCCTGCCCATGCCCCTCTAGTGTTGCCTGCCCATGCCCCTGTAGTGTTGCCTGCCCATGCCCCTCTAGTGTTGCCTGCCCATGCCCCTCTAGTGTTGCCTGCCCATGCCCCTCTAGTGTTGCCTGCCCATGCCCCTCTGCCCATGCCCCTCTAGTGTTGCCTGCCCATGCCCCTCTAGTGTTGCCTGCCCATGCCCCTCTAGTGTTGCCTGCCCATGCCCCTCTAGTGTTGCCTGCCCATGCCCCTCTGCCCATGCCCCTCTAGTGTTGCCTGCCCATGTCCCTCTAGTGTTGCCTGCCCATGCCCCTCTAGTGTTGCCTGCCCATGTCCCTCTAGTGTTGCCTGCCCATGCCCCTCTAGTGTTGCCTGCCCATGCCCCTCTAGTATTGCCTGCCCATGCCCCTCTAGTGTTGCCTGCCCATGCCCCTCTGCCCATGCCCCTCTAGTGTTGCCTGTACATGCCCCTCTAGTGTTGCCTGCCCATGCCCCTCTAGTGTTGCCTGCCCATGCCCCTCTAGTGTTGCCTGCCCATGCCCCTGTAGTGTTGCCTGCCCATGCCCCTCTAGTGTTGCCTGCCCATGCCCCTCTAGTGTTGCCTGCCCATGCCCCTCTAGTGTTGCCTGCCCATGCCCCTCTAGTGTTGCCTGCCCATGCCCCTCTAGTGTTGCCTGCCCATGCCCCTCTAGTGTTGCCTGCCCATGCCCCTCTGCCCATGCCCCTCTAGTGTTGACTGCCCATGCCCCTCTAGTGTTGCCTGCCCATGCCCCTCTAGTGTTGCCTGCCCATGCCCCTCTGCCCATGCCCCTCTAGTGTTGCCTGCCCATGTCCCTCTAGTGTTGCCTGCCCATGCCCCTCTAGTGTTGCCTGCCCATGCCCCTCTGCCCATGTCCCTCTAGTGTTGCCTGCCCATGCCCCTCTAGTGTTGCCTGCCCATTCCCCTCTAGTGTTGCCTGCCCATGCCCCTCTAGTATTGCCTGCCCATGCCCCTCTAGTGTTGCCTGCCCATGCCCCTCTGCCCATGCCCCTCTAGTGTTGCCTGCCCATGCCCCTCTGCCCATGCCCCTCTAGTGTTGCCTGCCCATGCCCCTCTAGTGTTGCCTGCCCATGCCCCTCTAGTGTTGCCTGCCCATGCCCCTCTGCCCATGCCCCTCTAGTGTTGCCTGCCCATGT